CAGCAACTTAAAAGTGCGGTCTTCCATTGCAGGTGCTTTGGTCAATTTCCAAATGAGAGCCAATGCTTTTAAGTTCAGCATCACCAGTCCTAAAGGATGGAGGGTTTCCTTCCTCGGTCCCTCTCTGTCTCCATCCTTTAGGGCAGGAGATGCTGGTTTAAGAGCACTTCTGCACCAGTTCTGATATTGAGGCCGCACGGCAAGTGACTCTCCGAAATGCCACTTAATTCCGCGTTTCCACTTCATAATGGGTCCGTCTTTCTCACCGTGAGATGAACTCATTATCTGCTGATCCCTCGGAGCCGTCGCCGCCAAAGCAAATGGAAACTAATGAGGGCGCGCAAATAAATTACCTGCGATTTAAATATTGATTGTTTCCAGGGCTGGCGTGATCCCTTTCTCCCCTCTTCCCGCCCACCCTTTTTCGCCCTCGTTGTAGTACACGCAGCTCTGGATAAAAATGTCACGGAAACAAATCGCCGGGTGGCGGAAGGCTTTGGGGGCAATAAAAAGGACTCTTAATGGCTTTTAACAACTTTGGGGAAAAGGTCGGGTGTTAGTCAGAGAAAGAGAAAGAAGGAAGGAGGTGGAAGCTTTGCCAACAGCTGGGTTGAGAATGGGAATGAAAGGAATATCAGAATGGGGACTGAGAGGTTGGAGAGAGAAAGAGAAGGATGTACGGAAGACCATTTCCACCCTGAGCATCACTCCTGACTATAGAACCCTGTTAGATCTGGAATTGGTCCTTCACCTCCTCAGTGAGGATCCATCTGCACTGTAGAATCAATGAAGTTTGACAGCACTTTCATAGAATCATAGAATCAAAGAGTTGGAAGAGACCTCCTGGGCCATCCAGTCCAACCCCCTGCCAAGAAGCAGGAATATTGCATTCAAATCACCCCTGACAGATGGCCATCCAGCCTCTGTTTAAAAGCTTCCAAAGAAGGAGCCTCCACCACAATCCGGGGCAGAGAGTTCCACTGCTGAACGGCTCTCACAGTCAGGAGTTCTTAGATCATAGAATGATAAGAGTTGGAAGAGATCTGGTGGGCCATCCAGTTCAACCTCATTCTCAAGAAGCAGGAATATTGCATTCAAATCACCCCTGACAGATGGCCATCCAGCCTCTGTTTAAAAGCTTCCAAAGAAGGAGCCTCCACCACACTCCGGGGCAGAGAGTTCCACTGCTGAATGGCTCTTACAGTCAGGATGTTCTTCCTCATGTTCAGATGGAATCTCCTCTCTTGTAGTTTGAAGCCATTGTTCCATGTCCTAGTCTCCAGGGAATCAGAAAACAAGCTTGCTCCCTCCTCCCTGTGGCTTCCTCTCACATATTTATACATGGCTATCATATCTCCTCTCAGCCTTCTCTTCTTCAGGCTAAACATGCCCAGCTCCTTAAGCCGCTCCTCATAGGGCTTGTTCTCCAGACCCTTGATCATTTTAGTCGCCCTCCTCTGGACACATTCTGGCTTGTCAATATCTCTATTGAATTGTGGTGCCCAGAATTGGACACAATATTACAGGTGTGGTCTAACCAAAGTGGAATAGAGGGATAGCATAACTTCCCTGGACCTAGACACGATGCTCCTCTTGATGCAGGCCAAAATCCCATTGGCTTTTTTGCCACCACATCACATTGTTGGCTCATGTTTAACTTGTTGTCCACGAGGACTCGAAGATCTTTTTCCCACTTTGACTGCCATGGCTCAGTGCTATGAAATCCTGGGTGTATTAGCTTTACAAGGTCTTTGTAAATAGTGCTGGAGCCTCATCAAACTACATTGAGCCATGGCAGTTAAAGTGACACCAGACTGCATTAATTCTACAGTGTAGATGCACCCTCAGAGTGTTGCTGAAAAGCTTACCTGCCAAAGGTAGGACAGATTCGGACAGAGGCAAGTCCGCTTTGGAAATATTCTGTACTCCACCGAAAAACCCATCTCGCAGAGTCCTTTTCCCCCTTGGCTCAATGTCTGCTAGATAGTCAGCGCCAAGGCCTGCCAATCTGTTCGCCAAGCGGAGGTTTTTGCCTGCATTAAAGGAAAGATATTGATATAGTGAGAAGGTTGGTATATTTCTCTCCAGATATCCAAATCCACTTCTATCCCCATACCAAAAAAGGAAACAGTGATAGGGGGAGATATGCCCAATTAAATGCACAATTCCAGAGGTTAGCCAGAAGAGATAAGGACCTATTTTTAAACAAGCAATGCATGGAAGTGGAAGAAGACAGCAGAATAGGAAGGACAAGAGACCTCTTCCAGAAAATTAGAAACATCGGAGGTAAATTTCAAGCAAAAATTGGCATGATAAGAAACAAAGATGGCAAGGACCTAACAGAAGCTGAAGAGATCAAGAGAAGGTGGCGAAACTATACAGAAGATTTGTATAGTTTCTGAGGACAGTTTTGACGGTGTGGTGAGTGAATTAGAACCAGACATCCTGAGGAGTGAGGTTGAATGGGCCTTAAAAACAAAGATGGCAAGGAGCTAATAGACACTGAAAAGAACAAGAGAAGGTGGCGAGATTATACAAAGGATCTGTTTAGGAAGGATAATAATATTGAGGAGAGTTTTGATGGTGTGGTGAGTGAATTAGAACCAGACATCCTGAGGAGTGAGGTTGAATGGGCCTTAAAAACAAAGATGGCAAGGACCTAACAGAAACTGAAGAGATCAAGAGAAGGTGGCGAGACTATACAGAAGATCTGTATAGGAAGGATAATAATATTGACAGTGTGGTGAGTGATTTAGAACCACACATCCGGAGGAGTGAGGTTGAATGGGCCTTAAGAAGCATTGCTAACAACAAGGCAGCAGGAGACGACGGGATCCCAGCTGAACTGTTTAAAATCTTGAAAGATGATGCTGTCAAGGTGATGCATGCCATATGCCAGCAAATATGGAAAACACAAGAATGGCCATCAGACTGGAAAAAATCAACTTATATCCCCATACCAAAAAAGGGAAATGCAAAAGACTGCTCCAACTTCCGTACAGTGGCCCTTATTTCTCATGCCAGTAAGGTAATGCTCAAGATCCTGCAAGGAAGAAGACTCCAGCAATACATGGAGCGAGAGTTGCCAGATGTTCAAGCTGGGTTTAGAAAAGGCAGAGGAACCAGAGACCAGATTGCCAATATCCGCTGGATAATGGAGAAAGGCAGGGAGTTTCAGAAAAACATCTACTTCTGCTTCTGTTTTATTGACTATTCTAAAGCCTTTGACTGTGTGGATTGTAATACATTGTGGCAAGTTCTTGGTGGGATGGGCATCCCAAGCCAACTTGTCTCTCTCCTGAGGAATCTGTATCACGACAAAGTAGCAATGGTAAGAACAGACCACAGAACAACAAACTGGGTAAAGAGTTGCAGTTAAACATAAAGGGTTGCAGTTAAACATAAAAGACCCAAGATGATGCCAAACAAGAATGATTGACAACTGGGAAATAGGAGGAGAAAACGTGGAGGCAGTGACAGACTTTGTATTTCTAGGTGCAAAGATTACTGCAGATGCAGACTGCCAGCCAGGAAATCAGGAGATGCTTACTTCTTGGGAGGAGAGCAATGTCCAATCTCGATAAAATAGTGAAGAGTAGAGACATCACACTGGCAACCAAGATCCACATAGTAAATCAATGGTATTCCCCATAGTAACCTACGGATTGGTAAATAAAGGGGGAAAACATGGAGGCAGTGAGAGAGTTTGTATTTCTAGGTGCAAAGATTACTGCAGATGCAGACTGCAGCCAGGAAATCAGAAGCTGTTTCCTTCTTGGGAGAAGAGCAATGACCAATCTCAATACAAGAGTGAAGAGTAGAGACATCACACTGGCAATGAAGATCCACATAGTTGAAGCAATGGTATTCCCCGTAGTCACCTATGGATGTGAGAGCTGGACATAGGGAAGGCTGAGTGAAGGAAGAGAGATGCTTTTGAGCTGTGGTGTTGGAGGAAAATCCTGAGAGTGCCTTGTACCACGAGAAGATCCAACCAGTCCAGGAAATAAAGCCTGACTGCTCATTGGAGGGAAGGATAGTAGAGGCCAAGATGAAGTACTTTGGCCACATCATGGGAAGACAGGAAAGCTTAGAGAAGACAATAATACTGGTGGAAATTGAAGGGAAAAGGAAGAGGGGCCGACCAAGGACAAGATGGATGGATGGTCTCCTTGAAATGACTGGATTGACTTTGAAGGAGCTGGGGGTCGCCATGGCAAACTGGGAGCTCTGGCGTGGGCTGGTCCAGGAGGTCACGAAGAGGCATGAGTGACTGAACAGATAAACAACAACAACAACAACACACACACATATATATTGGAGTTGCCAGCTGGTCTTTCAAATTTCTGGATAAGGGATGCTCAATCTGTACCAGAAAATGTGATCTAAGCAGTGACTATTAAAAAAAACTCCCAGCAGCAACAGAAACAACGTCAAGTGGATGAAACTATGTGATTCATCTTCTATATAAATAAAAATGTAATGTTAGTTTGTGGGATTAACAGAACTCAAAAACCACTGGACGAATTGACACCAAATTTAGACCCAAGACACCTAACAACCCAATGTATGTCCTTCACTCAAAAAATTGATTTTGTCATTTAGGAGTTGCTGGGATGTATAGTTCACCTACAATCAAAGAGCATTCTGAACCCCACCAACAATGGAATTGAACCAAACTTGGCACACAGTTCTCCCATGACCAACAGAAAATACTGGAAGGGTTTGGTGGACAGTGTCCTTTGGTTTTGGAGTTGTAGTTCACCTACAGCCATAGATCACTGTGGACTCAAACAATGATGGATCTGGACCAAATTTGGCACAAATACTCAATATGCCAATATGTGAAAACTGGTGGAGTTTGGGAAAAATGGACCTGGACATTTAGGAGTTGTAGTTGTTGGGGTTTATAGTTCACCTACAATCACCCACCAACAATAGAATTGGGCCAACCTCCCACGCAGAACACCCATGTGGGCCACAGCAACACGTGGCAGGGGACGGCTAGTTGTAAATAAAGTAATAATGCCACGTGTGCATTGGAAGCTTAAAAAGTAAATTTTTATAGAGCTTTCATTCTCTAGGCATATACTGATACAGTACTTGAAATTAGAATTCCAGGCTTATCTTCAAGGTGGGCAAGCAGTAGTAGCTTCTCATTGGATGGCACTCCTGTGTCCAACTCACCAGTGCAAGCTGTGAAATAAGCAAGAGAGATAGATGTTAATAGAGGATGGGAATCCTATTGGAGCTTTCTGCATATATAAAGAAAGTGTCAGGATGCATCTACACCAGGCATGGGCAAACTTTGGCCCTTTCCAGGTGTTTTGGACTTCAAATCCCATAATTCCTAACAGCCTCGGGCACCTTCCTTATTGCGGGTGGTCCTGGAACGTAACCCTAGCGATAAATGAGGGAACACTGTAATTGATTAAAACAGATCATGGGTCCTTTCTTTCTCTGCATGGGTATGGATCCCACCAGGGCTACAAGATGTTCTACAAGGCTGAATGAAAAGTAATGCCTCCACCTTCGTTACTTGGATTTGGATGGGAATATTTTAATAAATCAAACTCAAAAATAATCCTTAGAATGTTCTCTTTAACTACCTCTATTCACTTTTCCACATAATCACCAGATAATTAGATACATTTCTGCCAATGATGAACAAGTTTTCTGAAGCCGTCACGGAAGAAGACGACACTCTGTTTCCGCAACCAGCGTCTCACAGTTCTCTCAGCATCTTCATCAGAAGCATAATGATGTCCCCGCAGATCTTATTTCATTATAGGGAACAGATGGAAGTCAGGCGGTGCTAAATCTGGACTATACGGAGGATGCTGTACGGTGGTGAGATCCAGTCTCTGAAGTTCTGCTGTGGTGTGCTTTCATTTCAGGCGTCAGTATCCTGCGTACCCATCGTACACAGATCTTCCGATAGCCAAGCAAAGCAATAATGTGACTCACACGTTCTTGTGAAATGCCGATTATGCTTGAAATTTCTCTCTGAGTAATATGACGATCGTCCTGAATCAATCTGTCAACCTTTTGCTTGTGAAACTCGGTGGTTGCTGTGACAGGACGTCCAACTCTTTGTCACGCAAGTCAGATGTTCCCACCTCAACATCTTTAAACCAATGATGCACAGTACTCACATCAACACAATCACCATAAACAGCTTGCTGTTGTGGCTGAGATGTTCTGTGATGATGAGGATGATGGGATTCACATTCCTGGCTTTTTTTCTGTGCCTCAGATCTCTGGGCTGTGGCTCCCACAGACAGGACAGACAGTGCAGAGTCAGACAGTGCAGTCAACATCAACGCAGCGGTTCTCAGGAGAAAAGAATTTTAACGAAGGAGATAGCGAATAGGTGGGGAGGCATTTGCTTCCTTCCCACGCTGATACTGAAAGTACTGAAAGCCTTGATAGTGACCTGACCCAGCAAGCTCGTCTTGATTTGCGGGTCAGGTGGAGTTCTTGCCTGGCTGGCAGACAAGAGGCCAGCTCGGTGAAAGGTCATCGCAATGATTTCATGTAATGTTTTCATGTTAGAAAGGTATTTAGGCTTCTTGCAAACCAAGGGAAAGCATCAGTTCAACGTAGTTTATTAGCCTGAAAGCTTCATGGAATAGCCTTGGAATTTCTTGCATTGTGATTCATGGGGCAATTGTTTCATTGCTTGTACTTGGGACTCTGGTTTGAACTTTGCCAATAGGATTGTGTCTCTTGAAGATCTTTGGAACTATATTCTGCATTTAACCTTAATCTTTGGAACTTTGCAATGCTTATTCTTTATTTTGACTTGGATGTTTTCCTCAATAAACTATAAAATTACAGCTCTTGTGTGGTGATGTTTGGAAGCAAGGTGAAGCTTGCTCTGAGTTTCAACACTTGCATTCTCTGATGAATCTCCTTTGGGATGACACCTTCTGCTGTCAAGAATTCAATGACTGCACGTTGCTTAAGTCGCATTGACCAACAGTCTGCGCAGGGTTCCATACTTGGCACTTTAACAACACAACTGTTCAATGCTAAGGCTTCCTACCAAAATGGAACTGTAGAGGAGAGTCTACTGAACAAGCCAGTACCTGTCGCATACCAGTACTGCCACCTGTTGAGTTACGAAGGTGGAGACATTACTTTTCATTCAATCCTCGTATTTTCCACCGGAGAAACAGAGTCTGGGACTTGCTGCTTTGTGAAGCCTTATCCCATTGCTTTAACCTGATTGGAGATAAGAGCTCAAATGCCCCTGAAATGATTATCGGGGGGGGGAGGGATATTTTCCAAATCTTGGAGGAATGGCCAGAAAGGAGGATCACTCGGGGAGAGCTCATTCTTGACAAGCACTGCTCATTGGCAATGTCACTATTTGCAAACCCTTCTTCGGCTCTGTTGAGGGTTCAGAGGAATCGGCATGGAACTCAATCAAGAGCCTTGCGAGCGGCGCACCACGGGGAAAGAAATGCGCAAAGGTCATGCTTACAAGAGGGACCTCGTGCCCGGCAACGGTTCGGATTCATCTACTTAGCCGGCTAAGCAAAGCAGCCCCATTTGCAGCTAATGGGGTGAAATTTGCTTCGCCAGACGAGGCTGTGCCGGCATTCAAATTGATCTAATTTACAGTATTTGGGTGGTGTGTGTATATGTCGCAGTCCCGGGGGTCAGCTTGGACTCGCTTACCGTCTTGGTCCTTTATCTCGGTCCTGACAATATGCTTCACATCTTCGACCTGTAACCGCAAAGCAAACACACAAAAGCAAAGGCTGACTTGGTAACAATCCTTGCCTCTTTAACAATGTCCTATTAGCTTCTTTAGATGCTACTGGTCCCCCTGAAGAGGAATTCTGCAAATCCCTGAAAATTTCCTGCAATTCTCACATCTAGCATTGTTGACTTCCAACAGTGTGTTGACAAATTGGCATGCAAAGAAAAGGGAAAGGAAAAGCTATCTTTGGGGTGTGAACCCAACTGAGTGCTTTTCAATATCAGATTTGTTGCAAGGCTGGACATTTGGGAAATGAAGGAATATTCCATTTGAGTGGGTCAGAATTCTATTTAGACCCCCCCCCCACCCCATTTTAGTTCCCTGAAGCTACAGCCCAAATCCTTGCATGATACAAAGGGAAAACCTCCATCTATATAAATAAAAATGTAATGTTCGTTTGTGGGATTAACAGAACTCAAAAACCACTGAACGAATTGACACCAAATTTGGACAACATACACCTAACAACCCAATGTATGTCCTTCACTCAATTTGTTTTATTTTGCCATTTGGGAGTTGTAGCTGCTGGGATTTATAGTTCACCTACAATCAAAAAGCATTCTGAACTCCACCAATTATCGAATTGAACCAAACGTGGCACTCAGGACTCCCATGACCAACAGAAAACACTTTGGTGGGCATTGACCTTGAGTTTGGGAGTTGTAGTTCACCTACATCCAGAGAGCACTGTGGACTCAAACAATGATGGATCTGGACCAAACTTGGCAGGGATATTCCATATGCCCAAATATGAACACAGATGGAGTTTGGGGAAAAGAGACCTTGACATTTGGGAGTTGTAATTACTGGGATTTATAGTTCATCTACAATCAAAGAGCACTCTGAACCCCATGTAGACATGCCAGAAAAACACAATTGGAGATGTCTATGGACAATAGGCTCCTTGGCATGAAAAAATGGAACAAGAGCATCTCATAGAATCATAGAATCATAGAATCAAAGAGTTGGAAAAGACCTCATGGGCCATCCAGTCCAACCCCCTGCCAAGAAGCAGGAATATTGCATTCAAATCACCCCTGACAGATGGCTATCCAGCCCCTGTTTAAAAGCTTCCAAAGAAGGAGCCTCTACCACACTCTGGGGAAGAGAGTTCCACTGCTGAACGGCTCTCACAGTCAGTCACAGTCAACTCCTCATGGCGGAGTTGAGCATGGCCTCCAGACGCCGGAGATGAAAGAGGAAGGCCTTTACCTATGTCTGTGTATGTGTATTGTATGTCGTTGTCGTAGTTCACTGAGTAAAAGGCACTGGATGTTTGCCTTATATGTGCACTGTAATCCGCTCTGAGTCCCGGGAGATAAAGCAAAATATAAATAAAGTGTATTAATAGAGGCACAACTTAAGAATATTACAGACAAACTGCAACCTTTTGGGGTTAAATGTGCCACTCTATTAGAAAAATTAACATATAAATGAAGAGGAACAAAAGGAGAAATAAAAGAAGACGTATTGAGTAGTACATGCCGCAAACCATTTGCTAGTTGTTACATGTGTCAAAGTAATGGCAAATTTAATCCACCAAATGATTTGGATAAATACAAATATAATTATATTAAAATAAAAGAGATCAAAAAGAGATCTGACATAGCTATAGTCTTGTAATGTATTATGGATTGGTGGAGGAAATTGAAAGGGGTGGATTCGTTTGGGAAGGAAGGGAACACTTTCCCAAGCAATATTATTACCAAGCAATAATAATAAATAATAATATTTCTAGACAGCACCTCTCTCCCTAAAGAGACTCAGGGCAGCTCACAATATGAAAGCAGGCAAACATTCGATGCCTTACAAAGTAACAAACAATATCAGGAATAATATAAAATAATATTTATAAATAAAATTGCAATGTTCGTTTGTGGGATTAACATAACTCAAAAACCACTGGGTGAATCGTCACCAAATTTGGACACAAGACACTGATCAAGCCAACAAGTGACTATCACTCATAAAAACACCGAAAAATACAGCAGAAGAGACTTAAAAAGCCAATAAACAAAAATACATTACAACACATGCACAAAACCACATATATACACAAACATATATACACAAATATATCCAGAAATATATACACACATATATGCACACACAAAACATACGCAGAAAGGGGAAAGGAAGGCGAGAAGGAAAGAAAGGTAGAGAAGGAAGGAAGGAGAGAAGGAAATAAAAAAGTGAAAGAGGGAAGGAAGGAGAGAAGGAACGAAGGAGGGAGGGAAGAAAAGAGACAAGGAAGGAAGGAACCAAAGAGCAAAGAAAGTGAGAAAAGAAACAGAGAAGGAAGAAAGAAAAAGAGGGAAGGAAGGAGATAAAGAAAGAAGGAGACAAAGAGGTAGGGAAAGTTGGCCACAGCAATGCGTGGCAGGTGCAACTAGTAATCTATATAAATAAAAATGTAATGTTTGTTTGTGGGATTAACATAACTCAAAAACCACTGGACGAATTGACACCAAATTTGGATACAATACGCCTATCCGGCCAATGAGTGACTATCACTCATAAGAACACTGAAAAACACAATGGAAGGGACTTAAAAAGCCAAAAAAGCAAAAAGACACTACAGCACATGCACAAAACAACTCCCCCTGGAAAACAAAACACACAATAGCATATCCACACTCTCTTCCGGACTACAGCTCCCAGCATCCCCTAGACCAGGCACTTTAGGAGAGGAGGATGATCCAAATGCACTGCTTCCAAGCTGCAAGCTTTCTTCTCCTTGGATTTCTTTGAGAGCATCCCAATCCCTGCAGAGTTCAAATTTCCTATTCCTGAACTGCAACTCCCAGCAATCCTTCAGAAAGATTAGATAGAAAGATAGATTAGATGGAGATAGATAGGTAGGTAGATAGATTGATCAGGAGGACTGCTGGGAGTTGCAGTCCAAGAATAGGTAGAGAAGGAAGAAAGGAGAGAAAAAGAAAGGGAAAGAAAAGAGGGTGGAAAGAAGGGAAGAGGAAGAGAAGGAAGGAAGGAAGGAAGGAAGGAAGGAAGGAAGGAAGGAAGGAAGGAAGGAGGGAGGGAGGAAGGGAGGAAGGAAGGAAGGAAGGAAGGAAGGAAGGAAGGAAGGAAGGAAGGAAGGAAGGGAAGGAAGGAAGGAAGGAAGGAAGGAAGGAAGGAAAGGAAAAAAGGGAAGGAAGAAAGGAAAGAAGGAGGGCAGGAAGGAAGGAGAGAAAGAAAGGAAGAGAGAAAGAGGGAGGAAAGGTTGGCCACAGCAACGCATGGCGGGTACAGCTAGTGCATAATAATAATAGTAAAGCACACATCTAAGAAATCAACACGAAGGGAGAAAGACTATATAAGTGTGTGTGTGTGTGTGTATCTTCTCTTCTTTTTTTTTCTTAAGGAAGAAATGAAATGAATGATACAACATGCAAGGAAGAAGACCGGAAGTACAAAAAACTCAATATTTTATTTTCATATCATTTTTTTCTTTTTTCTTCTTCTCTTTTATATTTTCTCTTTTATATATTTCCCTCTCTCTCTCTCTTTTTCTCCTTCAACCCATTTTCCCTCCCCCCTTCCTCTTCTTTCCTCTTTCTTTTACTGCATCTATCAAAAAAGACCTTTAATAATAATAATAATAATAATAATAATAATAATAATAATAAAGCTATAATGATAGAATTGAATGTTGAAATGGGGACTAGGTAGTAATAGAGCAATTGGACAATAAACTAGGACATGTGTAAGCATCATTAAAAGCAGTTAAACATTAATTGCATTTGAAATGGCCAACACAGGTGTTCATTACAAATGTATCATAGCCAACATTTCGTGCAAATTGGTTTGCCAGCATTCCGGTGGATTAGTATCTTAGTTTTCCTTCTCTCCATAGGCTAAAGTGCGTAAGTGTATCTTCAAAAATTTCTTAAAGGAGAGGAGGGGGGTGCCATTTTTATTTCTTTTATGAGGAAGTTCCAGAGACAGGGAGACTCTCTCGTTCCCACCAGCTGAGCTTGAGACGAGAGTGGGACAAGTTGAAGAGATGAGATAAAGGAAAGGGATGAGGTCTTTGCCAAGTCAACACAAGCTATTCTGCAACAACAAAGGCTAACAGCAGAGATAAATTTTAAAAAGCTTTTCAGGGCAACACTTTTACCCAGAGATTCCTCCTCTTTCCCTAAAGCTTGCAGGCTCTGATCAGGGCCTGAGATTTGGGCAACCCATCGATCCTAGACCTCCACCTTGAAGAATTATTTCCTACGGTCACAATCCATGAATAATACTCACAGATAGTCCAGGGTTTCCTTTCTCTCCTTTCCGGCCGAAGGGGCCATCTTCTCCCTGTTGAAACAATTTAGTTACTTGCAAAGTTACTTTGATGAACAAGAAGGTGCCATCTTCCTTTCCCCAAAAGATATAGAAGCAGTTGAAAGGCAATGCTCAGGGAGGGAGATGATTTTTATTTTCCTAGTAATTCTGGGTGGTTTGAATGGTGCTTTGTTCAAACCAAGGGCTGCCTCATCTTCACACACAAATGAAGTAGAAGCCAAGATGTTTTGGGAAGAAGGAGAACAAGTGTGTGTGTATTTCTCTATGTGTTGGGGGTGAGAATTAAGAGTAAACTGTCTGTGAGAGCTGCTCCGCAGTGAAACTCTCTGCCCTTGAGTGTGGTCGAGGCTCCTTCTTTGGAGGCTTTTAAGCAGAGGCTGGATGGCCATCTGTTGGGGGTGCTTTAAATGCATTGTAGTGCTTCTTGGCAAAATGGGGTTGGACTGGATGGCCCATGAGGTCTCTTCCAACTCAAGGATTCTACGATTCTATAAATGCTGCATTAAACAAAATGAATGATGCTTTGTTATCTGCAGGAGATGGATTGCCCAGATCTCTGTAAACACGGAGACTCTGTAGTTGCTGCCTCCCTTTCTCAAGGCTTGTCTATATGAATTAAATAACACCCTAGCTTGCCTTACTTCCAATATTGGCTGTCTACATCAGTGGTTCTCAACCTTCCTAATGTCCCAACCCCTTAATTACAGTTCCTCATGCTGTGGTAACCCCCAACCACAACATTATTTTCGTTGCTACTTCATAACAGCAATTTTTCTACTGTCATGAATCATAATATAAATACCTGATATGCAGAATGTATTTTCATTCACTGGACCAAATTTGGCACAAATACCTAATATGCCCAAATTTGAATACTGGTGGGGTTGGTGGGAGGGATTGATTTTGTCATTTGGGAGTTGTAGTTTCTGGGATTTATAGCTCACCTACAATCAAAGAGCATTCTGAACTCCACCAATGATGGAATCGAACTATACTTGGCGCAAAGAACTCCCATGACCAACAGAAAATACTGGCAGGGTTTGGTGGGCATTGACCTTGAGTTTTGGAGTTGTAGTTCACCTATATCCAGAGAGCACTGTGGATTCAAACGATGGATTTGGACCAAACTTAGCAAGAATATTCAATATGCCTAAATGTGCACACTGGTGGAGTTTGGGGAAAATAGACCTTGACATTTGGGAGTTGTAGTTGCTGGGATTTATAGTTCACCTACAATCAAAAAGCATTCTGAACGCCACTAAGGAGAGAATTGTGCCAAACTTCCCTGACAGAAGTCTTGTGACCAATAGAAAGAACTCCACCAACAATAGAATTGGGCCAAACTTCCCACACAGAAAACCAATGATTAACAGGAAATACTGTGTTTTCTGATGGTCTTTGGTGACCCCTCTGACCCCCCCCCCCATGACTCCCCAGGGGTCCTGACCCCCAGGTTGAGAAACACTGCTCTACATGATGCATAGCTGTCAATATTAAGGGTCTTCTGCCCTTAGCCTGACTTTGCTCTACTTAGGCAAAGTTGGAGAAACTCTGGAGTGTTCATGTGGACAACTGAATCAGGTCCATTTTGGTCTGATATGCTGTCGAAATGGTCACTCTTTCCCTATGTTGATCAGCAGAGAGCAAGACAATGCTTACCCATGTCTCCAAGCTGTTTTTTTCTAGCCTCGGTCAATGGTGAACCAATAGATAACAACAACAACAACAACAACAACAACAACAACAAATTTATTACCCGCCTCTCCCTGAGGCTTAAGGTGGGATACAACATAATTAACACAAGAGATAAAACACTATTAAAAACATGCAACAAGATGTACAGAGTTAAAATACAAGTTACTGATAATGCAGATTAAAATTCACAACGAGTAGATAGCAGAATCTCTTTCAGTGTTTGTGACAGTACATGTGGCCTTTGGGGAATGGAAAGGGTAATATGTTGTCCATCCCTGTGGCAAGCCATCTGATCCTGCCCTGCCAATGAAAGGTGCCTTATGGACACCTCGGAGCAAGGACTGGCCCCGTCTTAGCAGTCTGCGTTGGCCATCAAAGCAAGAACAAGGCTGGCTCCTCACCTTTCCGCCTTTGTTGCCAGGAGTCCCTGGGGCTCCCTGGAGACACAACGGTTGCTTTCCTCTTCTGCCTCGTTCCCCCTGGAGGTAAAAAAGAAACCCATAAGATGCAATTTGGACACAGTCTAAATTAGCCATGGGCAAACTTTGGCCCTCCAGGTGTTTTGGATTTCAACTCCCACAATTCCTAACAGCCAATGATGTCGAATACGAATTTGGGGAGCCCTGCTTAGGCAGAGACCGGCCAGACCCAAAAAGAGGATCATAGATAGAATCATAGAATCAAAGAGTTGGAAGAGACCTCATGGGCCATCCAGTCCAACCCCATTCTGCCAAGAAGCAGGAATATTGCATTCAAATCACCCCTGACAGATGGCCATCCAGCCTCTGTTTAAAAGCTTCCAAAGAAGGAGCCTCCACCACACTCCGGGGCAGAGAGTTCCACTGCTGAATGGCTCTCACAGTCAGGAAGTTCTTCCTCATGTTCATATGGAATCTCCTCTCTTGTAGTTTGAAGCCATTGTTCCGCGTCCTAGTCTCCAAGGAAGCAGAAAACAAGCTTGCTCCCTCCTCCCTGTGGCTTCCTCTCACATATTTATACATGGCTATCATATCTCCTCTCAGCCTTCTCTTCTTCAGGCTAAACATGCCCAGCTCCTTAAGCCGCTCCTCATAGGGCTTGTTCTCCAGACCCTTGATCATTTTAGTCACCCTCCTCTGGACACATTCCAGCTTGTCAATATCTCTCTTGAATTGTGGTGCCCAGAATTGGACACAACATTCCAGGTGTGGTCTAACCAGACAGAATAGAGGGGTAGCATTACTTCCCTAGATCTAGACACTATGCTCCTATTGATGCAGGCCAAAATCCCATTGGCTTTTTTTGCTGCCACATCACATTGTTGGCTCATGTTTAACTTGTTTTCCATGAGGACTTTTTCACACGTACTGCTCTCGAGCCAGGCATCCCCCATTCTATATCTTTGCATTTCGTTTTTCCTGCCAAAGTGGAGTATCTTGCATTTGTCACTGTTAAACTTCATTTTGTTAGTTTTGGCCCATCTCTCTAATCTGTCAAGATCGTTTTGAATCCTGCTCCTGTCCTCTGGATCCAGAACACCTGGCGAGACAGCAAGCACCAAAGAAGATTTTTCCCTATTTTTTTCCAAAATAAAGTCTCACCAAGTTGAAAGAAAGCCAGCAAGATGTTCATTTCATTCCAGCGGATGACGACCGCAGTAATCTGCCCAGGACCCGACAGGTCAAGAAGGACAGGTATATTATTTATTTATTTCAAATAAATATTTATTTATTTGAAATAAATAAATAATATAATATACATTTAGGCATGTTTGTTGTTGTTCATTCGTTCAGTCGTCTCCGACTCTTCGTGACCTCATGGACCAGCCCACGCCAGAGCTCCCTGTCGGCCGTCACCACCCCCAGCTCCTTCAAGGTCAGTCTAGTCACTTCAAGGATGCCATCCATCCATCTTGCCCTTGGTTGGCCCCTCTTCCTTTTTTCAGTCAATTTTCCCCAGCATCATTGTCTTCTCCAGGCTTTCCTGTCTTCCCATTATGTGGCCAAAGTACTTCATCTTTGCTCTACTATCCTTCCCTCCAATGAGCAGTCGGGCTTTATTTCCTGGAGGATGGACTGGTTGGATCTTCTCGCAGTCCAAGGCACTCTCAGCACTTTCCTCCAACACCACAGCTCAAAAGCATCTCTCTTCCTTGGCTCAGCCTTCCCTAAGGTCCAGCTCTCACATCCGTAGGTGACTACAGGGAATACCATGGCTTTGACTAGGCGGATCTTTGTTGCCAGTCTGATGTCTCTACTCTTTACTATTTTATCGAGACTGGACATTGCTCTCCTCCGAAGAAGTAAGCGTCTTCTGATTTCCTGGCCACAGTCTGCATCTGCAGTAATCTTTGCACCTAGAAATACAAAGTCTGTCTCACGGCCTCCACATTTTCTCCCTCTATTTTCCAGTTGTCAATCATTCTTGTTGCCCAGACCATGGATTTGTGGCTCTTGCAATGGCTCTCAGTAATAATATTGGATTTAGGCATGTATATTATATTATTTATTTCAAATGTTTGAAATAAATAAATAATATAATATATATGCCTAAATCCAATATTATTACTGAGAGCCATTGCAAGAGCCATAAATCCATGGTCTGGGCCATGAGTTGCCAGGTTCAGTGTAGAAGCTGATCAGTTCCAATACGACACTTGAAGCATAAATTAAAGAAGAGCAGGGATGTACTTGGGGAAGGGGAGCACGGCTGGCATTCATGCATGGTTAAACAGGTTAGAGCAGTTACACGAATAGGAGGAAGGAACAGCCCTTGAAGAGCCCTGAAAGTGAAGGTCTCGATGAGCGAGAGGATACGAATAGATTTATCTTCCTCCTCCTTCACCTCCTTCCCCCCGCATCCTAAATTATGAAGGAGTCAACGCAGGGGAAATGGAAGCCATCAAAGGACACAGACTTCTTTGGCTTCTTGATCTAGGGGTGGGAAGCAGAGGGACGGAAAAGATGCCTCCCTCCTCCCTCCGTAGGATATCAAAGCGCCCTGGCTCTCATATTCATCGCAGGGGTAGAGATCAAGGCGAGGGGGTGGTGGCCTTCAACGTATGCATATTCTGGGCATCACAATTCAAGAAGGAGATGGACAAGCTGGAAGGTGTCCAGAGAAGGGCCACCAAAAAGGCCAAAGGTCTGAAAGTCAAGGATCCATTTGGGAAGCAGCCTATAAAGCTCTAAACCAGTGGATCTCAGCCTGTAACCAGAGCGTGGACCTCAGCGGATCCCTAATCCATCTAAAACACAGACATGTGCCTTTCACATTAAGAACAGACAAGCATCCCGAGCTCTGAGGATTACCTGGGAAGGAATCCCACTGGAGCATTGCAGCGCACCCAAATACCTGGGGGACACTCTGGACCGTGCTCTGACCTACAAGAAGCACTGCCTGAACATCAAGCAAAAAGTGGGCGCTAGAAACAATATCATACAAAAGCTGACTGGCACAACCTGGGGATCACAACCAGACACAGTGAAGACATCTGCCCTTGCGCTATGCTACTCTGCTGCTGAGTATGCATGCCCAGTGTGGAACACATCTCACCACGCTAAAACAGTGGATGTGGCTCTTAATATTATATTAACTTTATTTATACCCCGCAAAATCTCCCGAAGGACTCGATGCGGCTTACAATGGCCAAGGCCGCCAACAAACAACAACATACAAATATAACAGTAAAACTCATAAGCAAATAATAAAACATCAAGCAAAACAATAAAACTCTAAAAACAATGACACCATGACGCATTTAAAACCTAAAGGCCGGGCCAAGTGTAATGGATAAAATTTAAAAGTGCTGAACTTGACAGGAAGGTATGTAGAAGTTTTTGGGGGTAGGTGCAATGTGCAGAAATCTTAGTCTCTAATAAAGTGCATTTGGGACATGATGCCAAGAGTTTCCTAATCTGGAAAGGCACGCTGGAACAGCCAGGTCTTCAGGCTCCTCCTAAAGTTTGCCAATGTTGGGGCTTGTTTGATGTCCTTGGGGAGAGAGTTCCAGAGTTGGGGGCCCACCACAGAGAAGGCCCTGTCCCTCACCTCCACCAAACGTGCTTGCGACGCAGGTGGGATCGTGAGCAGGGCCTCTCCAGATGACCGAAGGGAATGCGTGGGTTCGTATATGGAGATGCGGTCACGCAGGTAGGCGTGGGAAAAGGCGTGGGAAAAGAATGTTTTAGTGGACCGCAATTGACTGATTTGGATTCTGTTTTGAACTGGTGAACTGTTTTGAATTGAATGTTTATAATTGTTTTAATTGTGTTAATTGTAAATGTGTGTTTTAATGTAATTTTTTTGGCATCTAATGACTGCCTGTTCTAAGCTGTCCCGAGTCCCTCTTCAGAGGTGAGAAGGATGGGAAAGAAATGCCCGAAATCTATATAAATAAAAATGTAATGTTCGTTTGTGGGATTAACAATTCAAAAACCACTGAACAAATTGACACCAAATTTGGACACAATACACCCATCAGGCCAACAAGTGGCCATCACTCATAAAAACAGTGGAAAACACAGTGGAAGATACTTTAAAAGCCAAAAAATAAAAAAATTACAATGCATGCACATAACCACACATATACACAAATACACAAATATATACACACACAAAACACATATACACAGACTGGGCCACAGAAACACGTGGCAGGGGACGGCTAGTAAATAAATAAATCCATATAAATAAAAATGTAATGTTAGTATGTGGGATTAACATAGCTCAAAAACAACTGGGCGAATTGACACCAAATTTGGACAGAATACATCTATCAGGCCAAAGAGTGACCATCACTCCTAAAAACACAGCGGAAGAGACTTAAAAAGCCAACACATATGCATAACCACATATATACACCTAGAATCATAGAATCGAAGAGTTGGAAGAGACCTCATGGGCCATCCAGTCCAACCCCATTCTGCCAAAAAGCAGGAATATTGCATTCAAATCACCCCTGACAGATGGCCATCCAGCCTCTGTTTAAAAGCTTGCAAAGAAGGAGCCTCCACCACACTCCGGGGCAGAGAGTTCCACTGCTGAACGGCTCTCACAGTCAGGAAGTTCTTCCTCATGTTCAGATGGAATCTCCTCTCTTGTAGTTTGAAGCCATTGTTCCATGCGTCCTAGTCTCCGGGGAAGCAGAAAACAAGCTTGCTCCCTCCTCCCTATGACTTCCTCTCACATCTTGATACATGGCTATCATGTGGTGGAGGCTCCTTCTTTGGAAGCTTTTAAACAGAGGCTGGATGGCCATCTGTCCGGGGTGATTTGAATGCAATATTCCTGCTTCTTGGCAGGGGGTTGGACTGGATGGCCCATGAGGTCTCTTCCAACTCTATGATTCTATGATTTTATTATTAAACCAGCTCTCACAGTCAGGAAGCCGTTCAGCAGTGGAACTCTCTGCCCTAGAGCAAGGTGGAGGCTCCTTCTTCACACATCCATACACACACAAAACACATCTACACAGACTGGGCCACAGCAACATGTGACAAGGAACAGCTAGTAAATTAAAAAAGGGAGCCACTATTCATCTGCATGGCCACATGTCATGGTGTGCCTTTGAGTTATTTCAGACTTATTATCCTGTGAGTTTCTCAGCCAGAATTGCTCAGAGAAGGGCTGCTCTTGCCTTCCTCTGAGGTTGTGAGAGTGTGAGTAGCCCAAGCCACCCCCCCAAAAAAAAACCCAGGTTTCCTTGTCTGCACAGAGATTGGGACGCTGGTCACCTTGCATCGTTGTCAAACATTGAAACCACGGCACCATAGTGGCTCTTCAGACCTGGGTAGTCTATTAAAGATGAATCAATGACCATTTGTTTCCGTGATACAACAAATGTTAGTCCTTACCTTTGGTCCCAGCTCCCCCCGCGGTCCTTGTGGGCCAGGTGGGCCTGCAACACCCACCTTGCCAGGTAGGCCGGTCTGTCCTTTAAAGCCCCCCAGGCCAGGAACCCCCTTGGAACCCTGGAAAATGAGAGAAAGAGGTGTTCGTGCAAAATGTCAGGAGAACAATGTACATAAATATATTCCTGCATACAGGAAATAAAGCCTGACTCCTCATTGGAGGGAAAGATATTAGAGGCAAAGATGAAGTCCTTTGGCCACATCATGAGAAGACAGGAAAGCTTGGAGAAGAGAATGATGCTGGGGGAAATGGAAGGAAAAAGGAAGAGGGGCCAACCAAGCACAAAATGGACGGATGGTATCCTTGAAGTGCCTGGATTGACCTTGAAGGAGCTGGGGGTGGTGACGGCTGACAGGGAGCTCTGGCATGGACTGGTACATGAGGTTACATTTGAGATAGAGTCATAGTATCATAGAGTTAGAAAACACCTTGTTGGCCTTTTACATCAATCCCATTTTGCCAAGAAGTAGGACAATCATGTTCAAAACACGCCCAACAAATGGCCATCCAGCTTCTGTTTAAAAGCCACCATAGATGGAGCCTCCACCACACTTCATGGCAGAGAGTTCCACTGCTGAACAACTCTCACAATCAGAAAGTTCTTTCTCATGTTCAGGTGGAATCTCCTTTACTGTAGTTGGAAGCCATTGCTCCACATCCCAGTCTCCAGGGCAGCAGAAAATAAGCTTGCTCCCTCCTCCCTGTGGCTTCCTCTCACATATTTATACATGGCTATCATATCTCCTCTCAGCCTTCTCTTCTTCAGGCTCAACATGTCCAGCTCCTTAAGCCGCTCCTCATAGGGCTTGTTCTCCAGACCCTTGATCCTTTTGACTTTCCCTCACATATTTATACATGGCTATCATGTCTCCTCTCAGTCTTCCCTTCTGCAGGCTAAACATGCCCAGTTCTTTAAGCCGCTCCTCATAGGGCTTGTTCTCCAGACCCTTGATCATTTTAATCACCCTCCTCTGGACACATTCCAGCTTGACAATATCTCTCTTCAATTGTGGTGTCCAGAATTGGACACAGTTTTCCAGGTGTGATCTAACCAAGGCAGAATAGAGGGGTAGATGAATGGACTCAGTTAGGGAAGCCATGAGCTATTGAGTTTGCAAGACCTGAGAAGGGCTGTTGATAACAGGGAGACTTGGAGGTCTCTTCCATGGGATCCCCATACGTTGAAGTTGACTTAGCAGTGGTTAACAAAAGCCTTTACTCTTGGATATAGGGGAGGATTTGCACATTTGCCTCCCATCTGATGACCACCCACGAAAACTGGAGCCTCATGTTCATGCCGAGTTCTGGCAACTCAAATTTCCACTCTCATGATCGAATGTATTTTGCATTTCTCTGGAGTGATGGTTGAATTTTGCCTGGCTCAACATCCTCTTTGTCAGGTTGAATAAGTTGGGCTTCTTTCCTCATCTCTATAAATAGGAGCAGATCCATCTCAGCTCCGGGTGTTAAAAGGGTGTTGACGCTGCCCAAGAAGTCTCCCGCGGAAGGGAGATGAATGGCTAAACAAAGCCAGTTCCCAGGCACCATGCACTTCAGGTGGGGGAACCTGGCAATGACTGATGAGATGAATTCCCCGTGTCTGGCAGGCTGGCTTTCCTATTTAGTCCAAGTGACCCCCTGCGACTCGTTGAGCAATTATTACAAGTGACGAGGCAGTGCAAATGGAGAGAGATCGGAGAAGTTGAATGACTGGAGCTATTAGCAAAGAGGTCGAGTGAGGTTGGCCTTCTTTGCTTCTGAACTTCCAGCTCTTGACTTCCTTCAAGGCTAGGGTCCACCTCATTTCTCATGTTGAGTAATGTTGAGTAATCACAGAGTGGTAACAACAAACCCCAAGGGCCATCCAGTCCAACCCCCTTCTGCCAGGAAGGAAGACACTATTCAAGCACTCCCAACAGATGGCCATGCAGACCTTGTCTAAAAACTTACAATCAGGAACAGCTAATCACCTCTCAACAAAGAATTTCCCCAGGCAGGAACAGGGCACAGGAGCTAGGTGTGAATGTTTCAACTGGCAACCTTGATTAGCATTTGACAGGCCATCAAATGCTAATCAAGGTTGCCAATTGAAACATTCACATCTAGCTCCCACAGAGAAGAGTTCTTTCTCCCACCCTGGACTTTTCTCAGATATATAAACCCAATGTTCCTAGTTTCCAACAGACCTCACGACCTCTGAGGATGTTTGCCATAGATACAGGCAAAACGTCAGGAAAGAATGCTTCTAGAACATGGCCATACCAGCCTGAAAAACCTACAACAACCCAGTGATTATGGCCATGAAAGCCTTCAACAATACGTCTTACATGTATTGTCGAAGGCCTCCATGGCTGGAATCACTGGGTTGTTGTAGGTTTTTTTGGGCTATATGGCCATGTTCTAGAAGCATTCTCTCCTGACGTTTCGCCTGCATCTATAGCAAGCATCCTCAGAGGTAGTGAGGTCTGTTGGAACTAGGAAAATGGGTTGACCAGGGTGGACAAAGAACTCTTGTTTGTAGGAGCTAGATGTGAATGTTTCAACTGACCACCTTGATTAGCATTTGATGGCGTGGCAGTACCTGAGGCAATCTTTTGTTGAGAGGTGATTAGATGTGCCTGATTGTTTACTCTCTGTTGTTTTGCTGTTGTAATTTTTGAGTTTTTTAATACTGGTAGCCAGATTCTGTTCATTTTCATAGTTTCCTCCTTTCTGTTGAAATTGTCCACATGCTTGTGGATTTCAATGGCTTCTCAGTGTAGTTTGACATGGTGGTTGTGAGAGTGGTCCAGCATTTCTGTGTTCTCAAATAATATGCTGCGTCCAGGTTGGTTCATCAGGTGCTCTGCTATGGCTGACTTCTCTGGTTGAAGGAGTCTGGAGTGCCTTTCATGTTCCTTGATGCGTGTTTGGGCAATGCTGAGTTTGGTGGTCCCTATGGAGACTTGTCCACAGCTGTAGACTTGTCCACAGCTTGTCCTACTTCCAACAGACCTCACTACCTCTGAGGATGCTTGCCCTAGATGCAGGCGAAACCTCAGGAGAAAATGCCTCTAGAACATGGCCATATAACCCGGAAAAACCTACAACAACCCAGTGATTCCGGCTATGAAAGCCTTCAACAATCTATTATTATTATTATTATTATTATTATTATTATTATTATTATTATTGAAGTAGTCTGCAGTCCTTGATTCGTGTGTTGGGCAATGCTGCTGCATTTGGTGGTCCCTACGTAGACTTGTCCACAGCTGCCTGGTACACGGTAGACTCCTGCAGAGGTGAGAGGATCCCTCTTGTCCTTTGCTGAACGGAGCATTTGTTGGATTACCTTGGTGGGTCTGGAGATAGTTTGTATGTTGTGTTTCCTCATCAGCTTCCCTCTGCGGTCAGTGGTTCCCTTGATGTATGGCAGGAACACTTTCCCTCTGGGCGGATCTCTGTCTTGACTCTTGTGGCTTGTTCTTGGTCTTGCAGCTCTTCTGATGCCTGAGGTGGAGTCTCCATTGGCCTGGAGAGCCCAGTTGAGGTGGTTCAGTCCATCTTGGAGGAGGTGGGCTTCGCAGATTCTTTTTGCACGGTCTGCCAAGGCTTTAATGGGGCTTCTTTTTTTACTTGGGTGATGGTTGGAGTTTTTATGTAGATACCATGAAGATACCATGGGGGGTGTTTTTTCTCGTGATGGTGAGGTGTCTCTATCCATGTTGGTAAAAGATTAATCCCGACAAGACAGAGGTCCTTCTGGTCGATCGTAAACCCGATCGGGCTATAGGGTGGCAACCTGTGCTGGACGGGGTTACACTCCCCCTGAAGTCACAGGTCCGCAGCTTGGGTGTCCTCTTGGACTCATCACACGCTTGAGGTTCAGGCGTTGGCGGTGTCCGGGAGGGCTTTTGCACAATTGAGACTCATGAGACAACTGCGACCGTACCTCGCTAAGGCTGATCTGGCCGTGGTGGTCCACGCCTTGGTCACCTCCAGATTGGACTACTGCAATGTGCTCTACGTGGGGTTCCCCTTGAAAATGGCCCGGAAATTCCAACTGGTCCAACGGGCGGCAGCCAGGTTAACTGGTGCCCCTTACAGTGAGAAGTCAACCCTCCTGTTTAAGGAGCTCCATTGGCTGCCGTTCATTTTCCAGTCCTAATTCAAGGTGCAGGTGCTTACCTACAAAGTCCTAAATGGTTTGGACCCGCCTACCTCCGTGACTGCATCTCCGTATATGAACCCACACGAGCTCTCTGATCATCTGGAGAGGCCCTGCTCACGATCCCACCTGCGTCGCAAGCGCGGTTGGTGGGGACGAGGGACAGGGCCTTTTCTGTGGTAGCCCCCCGACTCTTGAACTCTTTCCCCAAGGACATCAGACAAGCCCCAACGTTGGCAGTCTTTAGGAAGAGCTTGAAGACGTGGCTGTTCCAGTGTGCCTTTCCAGAATAGGAAACTCCTAGCATCATGTCCCAAATGCACTTTACTAGAGATTTAAGATTGTCTGCACACCGCACCTACCTCTAAAAAACCTATACATTTAACCTGTCATGTCCAGCATGTTAGTGGGGTAAAAATAAAGTTAATAATAATAATAATAATACCTATCTGTGTGTGTGGGTTTTCTGTAAACAGTGTGAAAACAAAGACCCAATGAAAGAGCCCCCAAAGGAGGCATTATCCAAGGAGGGTGTCATTTGCCCAGCGGAAAGGACACCTGAGTGCCATCTTTGGCCTCTAATATTATTAACCATGGCTGATTTGTATCCAGAAAAGAGATAACGTGATTTCGTGTATCCAGAAAAGAGATAACGTGATTTTGGGAGCACTAACCTTTTCTCCTTTCTGCCCCGTAATTCCTTGCAACCCATCAGTACCAGACTCTCCACGTTCGCCCTGAAGAGCAAAAGGCAAATACACAAACTAGAATGCAGGTTTCAGGGATGTTCAATATACATACCGATGTGGGCATTGAAACATTGAAAGCAGAGAAGGGGGAGAAAGAGACATGCACGGCCCTTGTCCATCCATCATTTTTCCCCTCTGCTGCTCCTCATGCTAAAGATGGCTCTTACTTTTCCTGGATTGCATTTCTATATTCCAGGGGCATCACTAGGGAGGGGCAGAAGGGACAAATTGCACAGGATGATACCATCCGAGTATAATATTTGGTGTTCTTTTCAGTAGAAAAGCATTAGATTTGAGCACAAAGTGATTTTTCTAAGCCTGGGTTGCCTGTATTGTATTAATCATAGAATCCTAGAATCAAAGAGTTGGAAGAGACCTCCTGGGCCATCCAGTCCAACCCCATTCTGCCAAGAAGCAGGAATATTGTGTTCAAATCACCCCTGACAGATGGCCATCCAGCCTCTGTTTAAAAGCTTCCAAAGAAGGAGCCTCCACCACACTCCGGGGCAAAGAGTTCCACTGCTGAACGGCTCTCACAGTCAGGAAGTTCTTCTTCATGTTCAGATGGAATCTCCTCTCTTGTAGTTTGAAGCCATTGTTCCGCGTCCTAGTCTCCAAGGAAGCAGAAAACAAGCTTGCTCCCTCCTCCCTGTGGCTTCCTCTCACATATTGATACATGGCTATCATATCTCCTCTCAGCCTTCTCTTCTTCAGGCTAAACATGCCCAGCTCCTTAAGCCGCTCCTCATAGGGCTTGTTCTCCAGACCCTGGATCATTTTAGTCACCCTCCTCTGGACACATTCCAGTTTCTCAATATCTCTCTTGAATTGTGGTGCCCAGAATTGGGCACAATATTCCAGGTGTGGTCTAACTAAAGCAGAATAGAGCATGGGGAGCATGACTTCCCTAGATCTAGACACTATGCTCCTATTAATGCAGGCCAAAATCCCATTGGCTTTTTTTGCCGCCAGCAAGGTGGAAAGCGAAACAACACCTTAGAATCATAGAGATGGAAGAGTTCTGTAATCAATTTCTTTTGCTTTTCAAAAAATACCCAGCCCCAAGATGAGATGTGAAACAATAGTTCTATGCATCCTTTACACCTGGAAGATGGAAAGGACTTTGAAGCTCACCTTTGGACCAATAAGAGCGTCTGCCCCTGGTGTTCCTGGCCTCCCAACACCACCGGTTTCTCCCTAGAGATGGAACGAGACACAGAAACATGTTAACTGGTTCAGTGGCCTTTGACATTTCACTATAGATTTGGAGTCTGAAAGCAAGACTCCTAAGAGGTTTTAGTTGCTGTAGCCCAACAAGTGTCAGATGATTTTTCTGAAGGTTCAGAGGATGAGGGGGAATGGGTTTCAAAATGAGGAGTCTGTGAGTGATATGAGAGAACTGCAGGCAGATGAGGCTGATGTTTTGGATTCCTGTGCTCATTCCCAGGCAACAGGGGAAAGTGAAAGTTCCCTTGAGAAAAAGCCTTGGGCATATGAGGAGTTTTCCCAGGAAACTAGATTAGACCTGAGAACGCAGGGAGTGAAAAATAGGCAAATTAGATATTCTCAGTGAATCCGAGAATATCCAAAAATCCAGAAGGAGAGGACAAATAACACCAACCTGACTTACCTTGATACCATGTGAACCCGGAGGTCCTGTCCTCCCTGGCAAACCACGTAAACCCTAAGGACAAATAGTAATCAGATCATGACAACACACATGGAGAACTGGATCTCTCTTCCATCCCATTGCAATCAGAGCCAGTCATGTGATAGTGAGCCCCACAAATAATATTCTAAGTATTTTACTATGTAGGTTATGGGTCACAGGTCCATCTGTGCCCAGTATCTGGCCAATGTCAGGGTTTCAAGGTAGAAGGCTTTCTAGTCCCACATGGAATTTTCCATACAAATACTTACAAGATATTTATGCATACAGCGGCTTACAAGATACACACACACACACACAATATATTATATTATTAGCATAATACAATATCAATATTAAATATTACTATATTGCATTATACCATTATATTGTAATATTATTAGTAATATTACATCTATATATATAAAAATGTGCTGTGTATAATGAGTACCATAAAAACAAAAGAACCAATAAACGAAATCACACCAAGAAAACGTCTCACGACACAAGGAGTGACCATCACTCAAAAAATTATGATTTTGTCATTTGGGAGTTGTAGTTGCTGGGATTTATAGTTCACCTACAATCAAAGAGCATTCTGAACTCCACCAACAATGGAATTGAACCAAACATGGCACACAGGACTCCCCTGACCAACAGAAAATACTGGAAGGGTTTGTTGGGCATTGACCTTAAGTTTAGGAGTTGTAGTTCACCTACATCCAGAGACTACCATGGACTCAAACAATGACGGATCTGGACCAAACTTGGCACAAGCAGTCAATACATCCAATTATGAACACAGATGGAAGTTGGGGGAAATAGACCTTGACATTTGGGAGTTGTACTTACTGGGATTTGTAGTTCACCTACAATCAAAGAGCATTCTGAAGCCCATGAATGACAGAATCGGGGCAAACTTCCCACACAGAACCCCCATGACCATCAGAAAATACTTAAGACCATTCAATCCAACTCCCTTCATCAGAGCAAAAATACATAATCAAAGTCCTCCTGACAAAGAGCCATCCAGCCATAGAGATAGATAGATAGATATATATAGATAGATAGATATGATTCACACACAGAGAGATATAGTATCATAGATTTGAAAGGGACCCTTATAGAAGGATAATGATATCTTGCATGTTCCAGGGTGGTCAAACCAGGCAATCTCCACATCAACACTGACAAAGAAACAGCAAGGAATACTGTTTACCCACAAGCATAAAGACATTACATAGATTAGAAACCAACATTTTTTCATTACTTTATTTTCCAAATCAACAGACTGTGCCACAGCAACGCGTGGCAGGGGACAGTTGTGTAATATAAACATATAATTATAATATCATATTATTAGTATTAGTATTAGTCAGTCGCAAGGCCGAACAGGGCATAGGGTTACAGCCTGCGTTGGATGGGGTCGCACTCCCCCTGAAGACGCAGGTTCACAGCTTGGGTGTGATCCTGGACTCATCGCTGAGCCTGGAACCTCAGGTTTCGGCGGTGACCAGGGGAGCATTTGCACAGTTAAAGCTTGTGTGCCAGCTGCACCCAAACCTTGGGAAGTCTGACTTGGCCACGGTAGTCCACGTTCTAGTTACATCCTGTTTAGACTACTGCAACGCTCTCTATGTGGGGTTGCCTTTGAAGACGGCACGGAAGCTTCAACTGGTTCAATGCTCAGCAGCCATGATACTAACAGGAGCGGCACTCAGGGAGCATACAACTCCTCTGTTGCACCAGCTCCACTGGCTGCCAATTTGCTACCAGGCACAATTCAAAGTGCTGGTGTTGGCCTATAAAGCCCTAAACGGTTCTGGCCCAAGTTACCTATCCGTACGCATCTCCGCCTATGAACCCACAAGGGCTTTAAGATCTTCTGGGAAGGCCCTGCTCTCGATCCCGCCTGCAACTCAGGCACGGTTGGCGGGGATGAGGGACAGGGCCTTCTCAGTGGTGGCCCCTCGGCTGTGGAACGCCCTTCCCACAGACATCAGATTGGCTCCCACATTAATGGCATTTCGGAAGAAAGTGAAAACCTGGTTATTTGAACAGACGTTTGAATAGGCAGTGCAATGAATTACAATGAATTATAGGAAATCAGAACAACGGATGACGAGCTTGGATTATGATTTTAGTTATGATACGCTAGTGAGTTGTTTATTGATGTTTATTGATGGTTATTGATGTTAATTGCTTAGTGTATTATTGTGTTAATTGTTTTTTAAATGATTTGCATTGAATTTTTGCTGCTGTTTGTTGTTAACCGCTCTGAGCCGCCTAATTGGCTGAGAAGAGCGGTATACAAATAAAGTAAATAAATAAAATAAATAAATATTATATTGCATTACATTATAATATTATAAATATTATATGTATATACAATATATTACATTACATTACATTACATTACATTACATTATTAGAATAGCACTGGAGACAAGATGGAACTGTCCCCTGGCCCCCTCTCTCTTCACTCTGGCCCAGAGCAGCAGTTGGTGCTGGGGGGTGGGGTCCCCAACCGATGACATATGCAGGAGACAAGATGGAACTCATTGTAAACACCAGGCTCGACCCTGTTTAGTTCCCCAAATTTGGTTGCTTCAGGATAGTATAGCGCCCTTTAGAAGTGATTGTACCTTTGCACCTTTCCGTCCAATGTCTCCTGTGATTCCGGGATCTCCTTTTCCTCCCTGAAAGCAACAAAAGATCAAATGTAGTTTGCACACAACCACAACAATATGATGCAGAGCTGGAATGCAAACTTCTGAAGGCTTAGTATCTGAACTCAGCATTCACCACAGGCAAAAGAACCAAAGCTTACATCTGGGCTTGCATCGAGTATTAAACCCCTCCTCTCTTCCCTAGCTATCAAAACATCATTGCTGTTGCAAGGATTTAATTGCAAATGGTTGGAAATTTCTACATTCTATATATACAAACTTCACATGGTTGAACAATGCAATATGGTCTATGTAGCCAGGCTTCTCTCACTTCTCTAGGCATTGCTTGGTCTTCCAACATGCTTCTATGGTGGGAAAAATGGGGTCTCTGCCATTTGCATGCACTCACTTTACCCAGGGGGACCCAGTAGTTGGGGAAGGGCTCTTTGTAATTTATTGTAATTCTCATATTCCTTCAAACAGCTTTTGCTTTGCTGATCGGAAGGTTCGGATGGGCCCTAAAAGGGACCCGCTGCGTTTCTGTTACCCAGCCTGGTGCTCCTGCTTGGCTCCCCAAATCTAATCATTATAGTTTCCAAAGTGCTGTTCCAGCAGTCACCAGCCACCCCCTCTCCAATGCCAGAGATACAGCTTAATGGTGTAACATTAGAAAATGTGGACCATTTCCGCTACCTTGGCAGCCACCTCTCCACCAAAGTCAACATCGACGCCGAAATACAACACCGCCTGAGCTCTGCGAGTGCAGCATTTTCCCGAATGAAGCAGAGAGTGTTTGAGGACCGGGACATCCATAGGGATACCAAGGTGCTTGTCTATAAAGCTATTGTCCTCCCAACCCTACTATATGCCTGTGAGATGTGGACTGTCTACAGATGTCACATGCAACTCCTGGAATGATTCCATCAGCGCTGCCTCCAGAAAACCCTGCAAATCTCTTGGGAAGACAAGCGGACAAACGTCAGCGTGCTGGAAGAAGCAAAGACCACCAGCATTGAAGCAATGGTCCTCTGCCATCAACTGTGCTGGGCCGGCCACGTTGTCCGGATGCCTGACCACTGTCTCCCAAAGCAGTTGCTCTACTTTGAACTTAAGAACGGAAAACGGAATGTTGGAGGACAGGAAAAGAGATTTAAAGATGGCCTCAAAGCCAACCTTAAAATCTCTGGCATAGACACTGAGAACTGGGAAGCCCTGGCCCTTGAGCGCTCCAGCTGGAGGTCAGCAGTGACCAGCAGTGCTGCAGAATTCGAGGAGGCACGAGTGGAGGGTGAAAGAGAGAAACGTGCCAGGGGGAAGGCGTGTCAAGCCAACCCCGACCAGGACCGCCTTCCTCCTGGAAACCAATGCCTTCACTGTGGGAGAAGATATGGGTCAAGAATAGGGTTCCACAGCCACATGCGGACCCACAAGGAAACCCATTATGGAAGACCATCTTACTCGTCCAACAAGGGATCACCTAAGTAAGTAGTTTCCAAAAATTGCTTCCTTCCACATTATTTTAAGATATGCTCACCGGTTCTCCTTTTTGGCCCTGTAGACCTCGGTCTCCTTTTGCTCCTTTCATCCCATTCTTCCCATCAAGTCCTGCCCTTCCCTGCAATGAAACCATTTTGCTTTCTTAAATAATATGCAGACACAGAAAGACTGATAAAAAGTTCCTAGTGTTTTTTAATCCCATTGTCCCAACTAGGGCTCCGTATCTCAGGGCCACGACTTCCTTCTCTGGTTTTCAAAATGAGATCTTAGAGCAGGCTTGGGCCAACTTTGTCCCTCCAGGTGTTTTGGACTTCAACTCCCACAACTGAAAAAGAGTCAGGATACATGACCACCGCAACAAGGTTATCATATACACACCAAAAAATGAATTAATTAATTAACAACAGCAAAAAGAAGAGTGGGCGTTAAGACTGAATGATTTTGCCAAAGCAAACAAATCCTTTGCTTTGATGATAACAAAATGATTGGTAAGCTCTTATGAAGACCGCAAACTCTTGAAAAAAGAGGAAATGATATTATAAGAAAAAATAGGGTTTGAGAATTGTTGTTCATTTGTTCAGCCATTTCCTTGCAGGATCTTGAGCATTACCTTACTGACATGTGAAATAAGGGCCACTGTTTGGAAGTTTGAGCAGTCTTTAGCATTTCCCTTTTTTGGTATGGTGATATAAGTTGATTTTTTTTCCAGTCTGTTTTCCATATTTTCTGGCATATGGCATGCATCACCTTGACAGCATCATCTTTCAAGATTTTAAACATTTCAGCTGGGATCCCGTCGTCTCCTGCTGCCTTGTTGTTAGCAATGCTTCTTAAGGCCCATTCAACCTCCCTCCTCAGGATGTTTGGTTCTAATTCATTCACCAACCGTCAAAACTATCCTCGATATTATTATCCTTCCTAAACAGATCCTCTGTATAGTCTCGCCACCTTCTCTTGATCTCTTCAGCTTCTATTAGGTCCTTGCCATCTTTCTTTTTAAGCCCATTCAACCTCCCTCCTCAGGATATCTGGTTCTAATTCATTCACCACACCGCCAAAACTATCCTCGATATTATTATCCTTCCTAAACAGATCCTCTGTATAGTCTCGCCACCTTCTCTTGATGTCTTCAGCTTCTATTAGGTTCCTGCCATCTTTGTTTTTAAGGCCCATTCATCCTCCCTTCTCAGAATGTCTGGTTCTAATTCACTCACCACACCATTAAAACTATCCTTGATATTATTATCCTTCCTATACAGATCTTCTGTATAGTCTCGCCACCTTCTCTTGATCTCTTCAGCTTCTGTTAGGTCCCTGCCATCTTTGTTTCTTATCATGCCCATTTTTGCCTGAAATTTACCTCCAATGTTTCTAATTTTCTGGAAGAATTAGCTTAAATATGAGGTAGAAGTGTGTATTTTTCACTGGTTTTAAAAAAGATTGTAAAGAAATTAGAAAGTTACTGTTTTCTTCTTCTTTCTCATTTATTCTGCTTTCATTTTCTTTTTTCTTTATTAAATAACTTTTAATGTCCAGTAAAATCATACAAGAAAGAAAGAAGGAAGAAGGAAAGAATGAAGGGAGGGAGGAAGGAGGAAAAGAAGGAAGTAAGGAAGAAAAGGAAAGAAGGAAGGAAGTCAGGAAGGAAAGAATGAAAGAAGGAATGAAATAAAGGAGGGAGGGAGGGAGGGAGGAAGGAAGGAAGGAAGGAAGGAGGGAGGGGGAGGAAAAGAAGGAAGGAAGGAAGAAAAGGAAAGAAGGAAAGAAGGAAGGAAGAAAGACAGGAAGGAAAGAATGAAAGAAGGAATGTAACAAAGGAGGGAGGGAGGGAGGGAGGAAGGAAGGAAGGCAGGAAAGAAGGAAGGAGTGAGGGAGGAAGCAAAGAAGGAAGGAAGGAAGGAAGGAAGGAAGGAAGGAAGGAAGGAAGGAAGGAAGGAAGGAAAGAGGGAGGGAGGGAGGGAGGAGGAAAACAAGGAAATAAGGAAGAAAAGGAAAGAAGGAAGGAAGACAGAAAGGAAAGAATGAAAGAAGGAATGAAATAATGTAGGGAGGGAGGGAGGGAGGAAGATAGGCAGGAAAGAAGGAAGGAAAGAGGGAGGGAGGGAGGGAGGAGGAAAAGAAGGAAGTAAGGAGAAAAAGAAGGAAGTAAGGAAGAAAAGGAAAGAAGGAATTGTAGAATCAGAATCATAGAATCATAAAGTTGGAAGAGACCTCATGGCCATCCAGTCCAACCCACTGCCAAGAAGCAGGAATATTGCATTCAAAGCATCCTTGACAGATGGCCATCCTGCCTCAGTTTAAAAACCTCCAAAGAAGGAGCCTCCACTGCACTCCGGGGCAGAGAGTTCCACTGCTGAACGGCTCTCACAGTCAGGAAGGAAGGAAGACAAAAAGGAAAGAATGAAAGAAGGAATGAAATAAAGTAGAAGGAACTAAGGTAGGAAGGGAGGGAGGGAGGAAGGAAGCAAGGAAGAGAGGAAGGGAAGGAGGAAGAAAGGAAGGAAGGAAGGAAGGAAGGAAGGAAGGAAGGAAGGAAGGAAGGAAGGAAGGAAAGAGTCCTTCATCTATTAGAGTGGTGTGGAATTAATGCAGTTTTGACACCACTTCAACCACCTTGGCTTAGTGTTATGGAATTCTGGGAGTTGTAGTTATTCAAGGTCTTTAGCCTTTTCTGGCTCCTCACCAAACTGCAACTCCCAGGAATTTGTAGCATTGAGTCGTGGGGTAAAACTGTATTAATTCTGGGTTGTTGTAGGTTTTTTCGGGCTATATGGCTGTGTTCTAGAGGCGTTCTCTCCTGATGTTTCGCCTGCATCTATGACAAGCATCCTCAGTATTCATTCTACAGAATAGATGCATTCATTGTTAGTTTTCTTATTGACTAAAAGGTCAAGGGCCTAAACCCTATTTCTGAATGCTCATCTTTGGGAACGGAAAGGAAATTTCAATCATAGAAGGAGAACTTTTAATTGGATGGTGGTGGTGAACACTCTCCTTTCCCCACGTCATCATAGTTACATAGTTAATTTTCATCTAGACTTTTCCTGCAGCCATTATAGAAAAGATCTCAATTGCAAAGTGACCCCTGCAAATTCACAAATGCTGCCAAAAAAAGGGAAATGTCAAGAGACGCGGATTGGAAGAGCGCAATGCTGAAATTGGACGGAGAAACGCATAGTTAGGAAAACACCTCCTTTCACCCGTTCGCCTTCCTTGCCTGGTATTAACAATTCTATTACATCTCTCGGAAAGGTAATGATTGGAAAGCGTTTGCCTCCGATGAATGAGGCAGCGAGTGATTCAACAGCTCTTAATGGATCGCATCAATTTCCAGCCACTTGTTGAGTGAGAAATATACTTGCATTGTATTCTTTGTCCCATCACAAATTGAATAGCATACCTTTTATTTCAAAAAGGGCATCACTTATGGAGATGTTTAAGAAAAGAACATTCCTGCGCATCATTCTCTGGCTAAAAAGAATAGTTGGAAGGAGTTCGTGGCGCAACTACACTGTAGAATTAATGCAGTTTGATACCACTTTGACTACTAAGGCTCAAGGCTATGGAATCCTAGGAGATTTATTTATTCATTCTTTATTTATATTCCACCATTCTCACCCTGCAGGGGACTCAGGACAGATCACAATCCACATATACATGGCAAACATTCAATGCCATAGACAAACAACATATATAGACAAATACACAGAGGCTATTTAACACTTCAGCTTCACGAGGGTATGCTTTTTGAATTCTGGCCACCGGGGGAGCTGTTGCTTTACCATCCACTTGTGACACCAATGGAGTACTTCCTCATTCTTTAGCATGCTGCTGGAGAATTCTATGATGTCGTAAATTAGTTATATTAGCCTCCTGCATAAGTGGTACCTAAATTTCCGAGTTGACAGATGCAACTGCCTTTCGAGCTGCAAAGGTTGACAGTAAGCTAGATAAATGGTTGGGAGCTTACTCCGACCCGGGCTGGGTTCACCCTGCAGGGGACTCAGGACGGATCACAATGCACATATACATGGCAAACATTCAATGCCATAGACACACAACATATATAGACAGACACACAGAGGCTATTTAACTTTCCAGCTTCATGAGGGTATGCTTTTTGAATTCTGGCCACCGGGGGAGCTGTCGCTTAACCATCCACTTGTGACACTGATGGAGTACTTCCTCATTCTTTTGCATGCTGCTGGAGAGTTTTATGGCATTGTAAATTAGTTATATTAGCCTTCCACATAAGCGGTACCTAAATTTCTGAATTTACGTATGCAACTGTCTTTCGAGCTGCAAAGGTCAACAGTAAGCTAGATATATGATTGGGAGCTTACTCCGACCCGGGCTTGCTTCAAACTCATGACCTTTTGGTCAGTAGTGATTTTCATGCAGCTCACTCCCAACCAGCTGCGCCACAACGTTCTCTGCTAAAGAGTGCTAGTGATTCAGTAAACTACAAGCCCCCGGTGGCGCAGTAGGTTAAACCCCTGTGCCGGCAGGACTGAAGACGGACAGGCCGCAGGTTCAAATCCGGGGAGAGGCGGATGAGCTCCCTCTATCAGCTCCAGCTCCTCATGCGGGGACATGAGAGAAGCCTCCCACAAGGATGATAAAACATCAGTTCATCCGGGCGTCCCCTGGGCAACGTCCTTGCAGACTGTAAATTCTCTCACACCAGAAGCGACTTGCAGTTTCTCAAGTCACTCCTGACATGACAAAAAAAAGTAAACTACAACTCCCAGGACACAATAGGATGGAGCCATAGCAATTAAAACTACATTAAATCCACAGTGTAGATCAGGCATGGGCAAACTTTGGCCCTCCAGGTGGGTTGGACGCCAACTCCCACAATTCCTAACAGCTTCAGGTGGAAAAGAAAAGGGAAAGGGCCTGAGGCTGTTAGGAATTGTGGGAGTTGGAGTCCAAAACACCTGGTGGGCCCATGTTTGCCCATACCTGGTGTAGATGCACTTCTAAACAGAGACTGATGCAGCACATTTATGGTATCTGTTAGGGTTTGGTTAAACAGATACATGGATGCTCAAGCTCCCATCCTACACCAATGACAACACGAAGAATTGTTTTTCAAATTTTGGGTTTTAAATATTTTCAATCCCTTGATGGTTGAAACCAGGGCTGACTGTAATTGGGATTTGTAGCCTTTTACAGGAGTCTATGTCTAGACTTCTAGATGCCATTTTATAATTTTAGGGACTCCAGAATTCACTATTGTGCTATTCACAAATGACCTTGAAGCTCAATGCCTGCAGATACTGAGTGTGCACTATCATGTCTCCTCTCAGCCTTCTCTTCTCTTCAGGCTAAACATACCCAGCTCTTTAAGCTGCTCCTCATAGGGCTTGTTCTCCAGATCCTTGATTATTTTAGTCACCCTCCTCTGGACACATTCCAGTTTGTCAACATCTCCCTTCAAGTGACATAGAACAGGACCGTGCCCAGGACAGAATCCTGCTTCTGGCACTCCACTTGTCAATTGTTGCAGAAAAGAGGAGTAGAATCTGCCCTGCCATATTGTGAATGCCTTATGCCTAGTTATAGAGTGCATCTGTTAGAATCTGTTAGCATTTATTCATAGCCATTTGCATCTGTAATTCTACCAAAGCAAACAACAGTTTGATATGAAAAGCTTCGATAATGGTCATTTAGAAAAGGAATTATTGATTGAGACCTGGAAGTGGCTCCTGCGAACTGATAAACGAAGCCGAAAACAACCTTGGCCATATTGCTGCAGGAAACAAAAATATAGGCTACTAAGCAGCATGAATCCTGTTCTGATAGAGTATCTATATAAATAAAAATGTAATGTTCATTTGTGGGATTAACAGAACTCAAAAACCACTGAGGGAATTGACACCTAATTTGGACACAAGACACCTAACAACCCAATGTATGTCCTTCACTCATAAAAACATGGAAAAACACAGCAGAAGGGACTTAAAGAGCCCCCAAAAGCTAAATGGCTAAAAGCTAAATGATAATACAGAAAAAAGGGAAGAAAGAGGGAGGGAAGGGGAAAGAAAGGGAGAAGGAAGCATGGAAGCAAAGAGAGAAGGAAGGAAGGAAAGAGGTAGAGAAGGAAGGAGGGAGAGAAATAAGTAAGGAAAGAAAAGGGAGAAGGAACGAAAGTTAGAGAAGGAAGGAAGAAGAGAAGGAAAGAAGGAAGGAAAGAGGGAGCGAAGGAAGGGGGAAAGATGTAGAGAAAGAGGGAGGGAAGGAAAGAAGGAAAGAGAGGAAGGAAGAAAAGAGAGACAGCAGAAGAGAAAGAAAAAGAGGAAAGGAAGGAAAGAGATAGAGYAGGAAGGAAGAAGAGAAGGAAAGATGGGAAGGAAGGAAGGAAAGAGGGAGTGAAGGAAGGAGGGAAAGAAGGAGAGAAAGAGGGAAGGTTGGCCACAGCAACACATGGCAGGTACAGCTAGTATTAGCACCCAAAATGGGAGGTTTTTCTATAGGACTGGGCTAATGTAAGGACACAATTCACTCTGGAACAGATAAGAAGGGATTTTGCACCTTTCCAGAGATTTCTTTGAATTGATGAAACCTTTTTTTCCTTGTATAAATAGCCCCAACTAATTTGTGTGTACAAGCAAATGTAAAACCATGTGTTAGCTACTTAGTTAAGTATACTTAAACAACATTTAGTATAAAGTCTAGGCCTGTATGTCTAAATGATATTCTGCCTTGGTTAGAGCACATCTGGAATACTGTGTCCAGTTCTGGGTACCACAATTGAATGTGTCCAGAGGAGGGTGACTAAAATGATCAAGGGTCTTGATAACAAGCCCTATGAGGAGTGGCTTAAAGAGCTGGGCATAATTAGCCTGAAAAAGAGAAGGCTGAGAGGGGACATGATGAGGGCCATGGATCAATATGTGAGGGGAAGTCACAGGGAGGAGGGAGCAAGCTTGTTTTCTGCTGCCCTGGAGACTAGGATGCGAAACAACGGCTTCAAACTACAAGAAATGAGATTCCATCTGAACATTAGGAAGAACTTCCTAACTGTGAGAGCTGTTCAGCAGTGGAACTCTCTGCCACGGAATGTGGTGGAGACTCCTTCTTTGGAGGCTTTTAATCAGAGGCTGTATGGCCATCTGTTGGGGGTGCTTTGAATGTGATTCTCCTGCTTCTTGGCAGGGGATTGTCCTATGAGGTGTCTTCCAACTCTATGATTCTGATACCTCCATTTGGTTTGGGATCAGATAAACTTATTAAGTATACTTAAGTAACCAACTGCCTTTGAAGATGGCTTGGAAGCTTCAACTAGTCCAACGGGTGGCACCCAAATTTCTTACTGGGGCGGCATACCAGCAGCATACTATTCTTCTGTTACATCAGCTTTACTGGCTGCCAGTCTGCTAATGAGTTCAATTCAAAGTGTTGGTCTTGGCCTTTAAAGACCTATATGGTTCAGGTCCGAATGTATCTCCCTCTATGATTCTATAAGAGCTTTGATATTGGCTGGGGAGGCTCTGCTTTCTGTCCTAACCTCTTCGCGAGCGTGATTGTTTGGGGCAAGAGACAGGGCCTTCTCTGTGGTGGCCCTTCGGCTGTGAAACCCTATGAGGAGCGGCTTAAAGAGCTGGGTGTGTTTAGCCTGCAGAAGAGAAGGCTGAGAGGAGACATGATGAGGGCCAGGGATCAATATGTTGGGGGAGTCATAGGGAGGAGGGAGCAAGCTTGTTTTCTGCTTCCCTGGAGACTAGGACATGAAACAATGGCTTCAAACTACAGGAAAGGAGATTCCACCTGAACATTAGGAAGAACATACTGACTGTGAGAAGGGCTGTTCAACAGTGGAACTCTCGCTCTCTCTCTGCCCCGGAGTGTGGTAGAGGCTCCTTCTTTGGAGGCTTTTAAGTAAGAAGCTGGATGACCATCTGTCAGGGGTGCTTTGAATGCAATTTTCCTGCTTCTTGGAAGAATGGGGTTGGACTGGAATTGGCCACCAGTTCTCTTCCAACTCTGATTCTATGACTAAGGGACTACTTTGCATAAAATCATCATTGTCGTTGTCATGCTGCTTTTTTCTAGATTGAGCTGCATAGCAAACATAAATGAATGAATGAATAAATAAATAGTTCAGGCAATTTGCACAGGGAAGAATACTTTGACAAAATCAAAAAGTCTTTGCAAGCTTGTAACATCTATTATCATTATTATTATTATTATTATTATTATTATTATATTTCTATCAAGCTTTTATCTGAATTATCTTGCATCTCTTTTTTATTTTTTGTATTGAGAAAGAAAAATAATAACATATTTGATCAGATAATACTTCTCTATTGTAGGCATATATTATCTTGCATCTCTATATTAGATTATTCTTAGCTTAAGTCACCCATTTCTGATGCTCAGTAACTGGTACTGAATTCCATCTATTATTGTTCGCAACATGTAATTTCCAGAAGTAGAGGTAGACTATGGAAAATGGTGGCTCATGGGCCTGTAAGTGGCCTTTAAATGGTCTTTCTGCTATAGAGTAAAAGACTTTGAGGATATAGTCCAACTTACCGCAAATCCAAGCAGTCCAGGTTCTCCGATTTCACCCTGCAAGAAAATAAGAATGAGCAACTTGGAAAAAAAAAAAGCTGAGTTCAGTGGGGAGAGGAATCCAAACCAATAGAGCAGTCAATGCATTCCTTAAAGGAGCTTTCCAGGGTGCTGAAACTACTCTCTGAAATAGCTTCAGCAGTTGGATAGCGCCATTCACATTCAGACTAAACCTTGATCCACCAATTTACTGCCATAGAAGCTACCTATTTTTCAGAGAAAACCTGATCTCATCCCTTGAATTTGGAATTGAATCCAAATTTCCAAGATCCCCCCCCCCCCCCGGAGAAGTTTGCATGATTGGCACATAACCATTGGATCTGCCCCAAAAGGAGACCCTACTGTTCTTTGCAAGGGTCGCTGACATTACTGACACTTGCTCAGCCAATGGGTGAAAGGTCTTGGAAATTGGGATTTTAAATATCTAAATACATATGACAGGAGAAGCTGTTGCTCTTAGAGGCTTTGCCTAGGACTCTGGACATCCAAGTACAAATTTCCAAGGAACTATAACATGCATTTTGGGCCCAACATCCCTCTCAACTTGACCTACAGGATTGTTGTAGTGTATAAATTAAGACTAAAGCTGCAAGGATACAAGAGGAGAACCTTGAGGTGATGGCAAGTAATGAATAAATAAGTTGGAAACAACCAGGCACATCTTAACACCTCTCAACAAAAGATTTTCCCAGGCTCAGCCAGGCCTTCAAATGCTAATGAAGGTGGTCAGTTGAAACATTCACACCTAGCTCCAGCAGAGAAGAGCTCTTTGCCCCACCCCAGCCATTCCACAGATATATAAACCCATTGTCCTAATTCCAACAGACCTCACTACCTCTGAGGATGCTTGCCATAGATGCAGGCGAAACATCAGGAGAAATGCCTCTAGAACATGGCCCTATAGTCCGAAAAAACCCACAAGAACCTAGTGATTCCAGCCATGAAAGCCTTCGACAATACAATAAATAAGTTACTTATTAGGTTGAGGTTCTCCTATCCAAAATGGATTTGGAGGGATCTCATCCGACTGTTTGCCCACCGGTTGTTGGCAGGGGACTAATGAAAGCCCTCCCACATGAACAGCAAGAAGTTTTCACTGCAATTCATGGGAATGGATTTAATTACTCTTGTACATATTAGGCTGCAAGCAAGAAAGGGGAAATAGGCCAAGATGCCTCTCCATTTTCCCTGTCCACAAGTACTTTTATATTATACTCTCTTATACTGTTCATCCTCCACGTCTACAGATACAACCCATCTGTAGCTTGAAAATAAATCTTGATTTTTCCATATTTTGGGTCGCGTCAGGAGTGACTCCTGGTGTGAGAGAATTGGCCGTCTGCAAGGACGTTGCCCAGGGGACGCCTGGATGATTTGATATTTTTATCATCCTTCTGGGAGGCTTCTCTCATGTCCCCGCATGAGGAGCTGGAGCTGATAGAGGGAGCTCATCCGCCTCTCCCCAGATTCGAACCTGCGACCTGTCGGTCTTCAGTCCTGCCGGCACAGGGGTTCAACCCACTGCGCCACTGGAGGCTCCATATTTTTCCATATTGATACCACTTGACTACTCCATTAGGACTCCAGCACCCATAGTTTTTGGTATCCACAGAGGGTCCTGGAACTGAACCCCAGTGGATACTGAGGGCCCATTGCAACCATAATAAATCTTCCTTTAATTTCCAGATTTGTCATTAATTTACTATTTTAACATGCAGTTTTGTTGAAGCAAAGGCCTCCGTTCAATTGCAAGAGTAGACCCACTGGGACTAGCAATCACACGGAGGGAAACAAAAGGCTCGGATAGAGTGTGGTGCAGTGGTTTTAGTATTAGACTAGCCGTCCCCTGCCATGCGTTGCTGCGGCCCAGTCTGTATATATGTGTTTTGTGTGTGTATATATGTGTGTATATATTTGTGTGTGTGTGAATGTGCGTGTGTGTGTGTGTGCATGTGTGTGTGTGTGTGTGTGTGTGTGTGTGTGTATATATATATGGAAGGACAAGAGACCTCTTCCAGAAAATTAGAAACATTGGAGGTAAATTTCAGGCAAAAATTGGTATGATAAGAAACAAAGATGGCAGGGACCCAACAGAAGCTGAAGAGATCAAGAGAAGGTGGCGAGACTATACAGAAGATCTGTATAGGAAGGATAATAATATTGAGGATAGTTTTGACGGTGTGGTGAATGAATTAGAACCAGACATCCTGAGGAGTGAGGTTGAATGGGCCTAAGAAGCATTGCTAACAACAAGGCAGCAGGAGATGACGGGATCCCAGCTGAACTGTTTAAAATCTTAAAAGATGATGCTGTCAAGGTGATGCATGCCATTTGCCAGCAAATATGGAAAACACAAGAATGGCCATCAGACTGGAAAAAATCAACTTATATCCCCATACCAAAAAAGGGAAATGCGAAAGACTGCTCAAACATCCGTACAGTGGCCCTTATTTCTCATGCCAGTAAGGTAATGCTCAAGATCCTGCAAGGAAGACTCCAGCAATACATGGAGCGAGAGTTGCCAGATGTTCAAGCTGGGTTTAGAAAAGGGAGAGGAACGAGAGACCAAATTGCCAATATCCGCTGGATAATGGAGAAAGGCAGGGAGTTTCAGAAAAACATCTACTTCTGCTTCATTGACTATTCTAAAGCCTTTGACTGTGTGGATCATAATAAATTGTGGCAAGTTCTTAGTGGGATGGGCATCCCAAGCCACCTTGTCTCTCTCCTGAGGAATCTGTACAAGGACCAAGTAGCAACAGTCAGAACTGACCATGGAACAACAGACTGGTTCAAGATTGGGAAAAGCACCAAGTTTGGCCCAATTCCATCATTGGTGGAGTTCAGAATGCTCTTTGATTATAGGTGAACTATAAATCCCAACTGACCACGGAACAACAGACTGGTTCAAGATTGGGAAAGGCGTACGGCAAGGCTGCATCCTCTCACCCAACCTTTTTAACTTGTATGCAGAACACATCATGCGATGTGCGGGGCTGGATGAATGCAAAGCTGGGGTGAAAATTGATGGAAGAAACATTAACAACCTCAGATATGCAGATGACACCACTCTGATGGCCGAAAGCGAGGAGGAGCTGAGGAGCCTTCTAATCAAGGTGAAAGAAGAAAGCGCAAAAGCTGGGTTGCAGCTAAACATCAAAAAAACCAAGATTATGGCAACAAGAATGATTGACAACTGGAAAATAGAGGGAGAAACCGTGGAGGCCGTGACAGACTTTGTATTTCTAGGTGCAAAGATTACTGCAGAGGCAGACTGTAGCCAGGAAATCAGAAGACGCTTACTTCTTGGGAGGAGAGCAATGTCCAGTCTCGATAAAATAGTAAAGAGTAGAGACATCAGACTGGCAACAAAGATCCGCCTAGTCAAAGCCATGGTATTCCCTGTAGTAACCTACGGATGTGAGAGCTGGACCTTAGGGAAGGCTGAGCGAAGGAAGATCGATGCTTTTGAGCTGTGGTGTTGGAGGAAAGTGCTGAGAGTGCCTTGGACTGCAAGAAGATCCAACCAGTCCATCCTCCAGGAAATAAAGCCCGACTGCTCATTGGAGGGAAGGATACTAGAGACAAAGTTGAAGTACATCATGAGGAGACAGCAAAGCCTAGAGAAGACAATTATGCTGGGGAAAGTGGAAGGCAAAAGGAAGAGGGGCCGACCAAGGGCAAGATGGATGGATGGCATCCTTGAAGTGACTGGACTGACCTTGAAGGAGCTGGGGGTGGTGACGGCCGACAGGGAGCTCTGGAGTGGGCTGGTCCAGGAGGTCACAAAGAGTCAGAAGCGACTGAACGAATAAACACACACAAACAGTATATGTGGTTTTGTGCATGCGTTTTAATGTATTTTTCTTTTTTTGGCCTTTTAAGTCTCTTCTGCTGTGTTTTCAGTGTTTTTATGAGTGATGGTCACTTGTTGGCCTGATAGGCATATTGTGTCCAAATTTAGTGTCAATTCGTCCAGTGTTTTTTGAGTTATGTTAATCCCACAAACAAACAAACATTACATTTTATTTATATAGATGAGGACTCTAGGAGACCAGGTTTCAAGTTCCCACTGAGTTCTGGAAACCCACCAAGTGACCTGGGGAAAGTCACACTCTCTCAGCCTCAGATGAAGGCAATGGAAAGCCTCTTCCATAGACATTTGGCCAAGAAAAACCCATGATACGTTGACTGTAGGATTGCCCTAATTTGGAAACAACTTGAAGGTACACAACAACATATTGTGTTCTAGCATGACCCAGAAATTCCTAGAGATATGTTATCTCTAAACATATTTATAGGTCTTCTAGCATGTCTGGAAAAGGTCGACAACTGTCTATCTAAGACAAGGGCTAAGTTACTACACAGTTGATTAACTGTGCCCAAACTAAGTTACTACACAGTTGATTGCCCAAACCAAGTTGCATGTCAATACTTAAACCATGATACAGACCTTCTGTCCCACTGGTCCCCTTGTGCCAAAGAGGCCCATGACTCCTTTAGATCCCGCTTCTCCTTTCACACCCTGAAAGAGGAAAACAAAGGACGAGGAGGAGGAGACACAAGGGGACAGGCAATGTCAGAACACTACCGGTCAGATAAAAATCTGGGGAAACAGAAGTCAACAGAACACATCCCATCAAGCAGTGCAACAAATGTGTGCAAAGTCAAGGAGTTTCTCTGCCTCCGCAGAGGTGCACTTGGAGCACGCGAAGGATGATTTTAAGTTCCAGGAGACTGCACAATCTATAAGTTATTGATCGGAAGGACAAGAAAAATGAGAGAAGCTTCCAGCTTTGGGAACAGAAGGAGCCATGCCTGGTTTCTGTGAATGAGCATGAATGAACTCCATGGCTCAATTGAGCTCAAATTTAAGTTAAGCCCATTTATGCTTCACCATATACTGTACCATAAGGCTGTTACGAGTATTTCTGGAGCATTTTTTTCCTTTTTGAGCAGAACTTATGTTCCTTTACAAAGTACCGTATGAAGTGGAGAAGGTGGTTTCCATTTGAGTTGGGCATTCAACCTTTCCCAGCTTCTAAAATGAACTCTAAGGGAGCAGACAAGTATCTTGAATCTTATTCCTATCCAATACACCCACCCTTGGATAGCTCTTTTAAAGTTCAGACTAAAACCCAGATTGAACTCTTCAACCTGCTGATATTGGACTATTGGTCTTCTCCAATAGATCAAAGGTAGGAAAACACTTGAAGGGAGTCGTCTAGATGCCTCTACCAACCCCACTCTCATATCTGAATGACATCAAGTATGGGGAAATCCTGGGAATTCTTCTCTTTAGAATGTACTAAATTGTCAAAACACAGGCACCTTTTCACCAGCAGGTCCATCTTCTCCTTTCTCACCCTTGTCTCCATCAAATCCAGGAGGGCCCCTTTCACCCTAAACAACAAGAGGAGAACATTTTGTTACATTCTCCACCTGGTCAAAGTCAGGGCACATTAAAACTACTCCTTTTGTTAAGGCTTCTGGCTGGAACAATATGAGTTCTACACCAATCTGGGATTGCTCTAACCTCTTCCTTTTGTTGGAAGGCTGGAAGCTGGCTGTGTTCCCATAGCCAGACACAAATCAGTGACATTGAGAGTTGTGGAGGACCTCAATGGATCTGACATCCTTGGTCAGGTTGGATCATAGCCTGATACAAATCAGTGGCATTATCCATTGAGAGCTCAAGAGGACCTCAATGGCTCTGACATGCTTGGTCAGGTTGGATCATAGCCAGAAACAATTCAGTGGTTTCATCCATTGAGAGTTCAGGTGGACCTCAGTGGATCTGACATCCTTGGTCAGGTTGGATCATAGCCTGATATAAATCAGTGGCATTATCCACTGAGAGCTCAGGAGGATCTCAATGGCTCTGACATGCTTGGTCAGGTTGGATCATAGCCAGATACAAATCAGTGGTGTCATCCATTGAGAGTTCAGGAGGACCTCAACGGATCTGATATCCTTGGTCCGGTTGGACTATAGCCAGATGCAAATCAGTGGCATTATCCATTGAGAGCTCAGGATTATCTCAGTGGATTTGACATCCTTGGACTGAGTCTGAATATGAGAACATAGTCAAACACTTCTGTGATACTATCTGCTTTCTAGAATCTACAGAAAAACTGTTGGGGGAGTTTGTTACAGTGACATATTGAGACTTGGGAGTGGTGAAAAGCAGGTCATTGTAGAGTTCCAAAAGGAGAACTCTTAGGTCTCATGGACAGCTTGGAAAGCAAGGATGGGGAGATGCTGGCTGGAACCCAGTAGTGCCCAGCAGTTCCCTCAGCCAAGCCTTGAAGAAGCACCCATGGAAGGAGCTCCTACTTATCAGCCTGCAGAAGAATCATAGAATCATAGAATCAAAGAGTTGGAAGAGACCTCATGGGCCATCCAGTCCAACTCCCTGCCAAGAAGCAGGAATATTGCATTCAAATCACCCCTGACAGATGGCCATCCAGCCTCTGTTTAAAAGCTTCCAAAGAAGGAGCCTCCACCACACTCCGGGGCAGAGAGTTCCACTGCTGAACGGCTCTCACAGTCAGGAAGTTCTTCCTCATGTTCAGATGGAATCTCCTCTCTTGTAGTTTGAAGCCATTGTTCCACGCCCTAGTCTCCAAGGAAGCAGAAAACAAGCTTGCTCCCTCCTCCCTGTGGCTTCCTCTCACATATTGATACATGGCTATCATATCTCCTCTCAGCCTTCTCTTCTTCAGGCTAAACATGACCAGCTCCTTAAGCCGCTCCTCATAGGGCTTGTTCTCCAGACCCTTGATCATTTTAGTCGCCCTCCTCTGGACACATTCCAGCTTGTCAATATCTCTCTTGAATTGTGGTGCCCAGAATTGGACACAATATTCCAGGTGTGGTCTAACCATAGCAGAATAGAGGGGTAGCATTACTTCCTTAGATCTAGACACTAGACTCCTATTAATGCAGGCCAAAATCCCATTGGCTTTTTTTGCCACCACATCACATTCCTGGCTCATGTTTAACTTGTTGTCCACGAGGACTCCAAGATCTTTTTCACACGTACTGCTCTCGAGCCAGGTGCAAGCAAGTTCCTCTGAAAAGGCTGAGGAAGAATCATTGTTCCATCTTTTGTGGACCTGTGAAGAAAGAAGTCTCAACTACGCAGGTCATTGAGATTAATTGAGGAGCAAGTAATCACCAGGGAACGCCTGTGGATTTAGGATTTTAAGAACTCAAGCCTGCCACCTTTTTGCTGGAAGTAATGACCTTGGACTCTTGCTTTCTCTGTTGTGTTATCCTGTTAAGACTTGCACCTTTGTTGGAGTATCAGCTTGACCTCACACTACTGCTAGTATATAGGAGTCAAGGCATCTAACATATGTCATGAATAATGATGTAGCATCTCAACCAGGGTGCATTATTCAAAGCAGTGATTCCCAAGCTTTGTTCCTCCAGGTGTTTCAGTTCCCAGAATCCTTGGCAGTTGTCCAAGCTGGTGGGGCTTTTGGGAGTTGAAGTCCAAACATTTGGAGGACCTAAGGTTGGGAACCACAGATCTAAAGAGCAGCTGAAGCAGCAATGTGATCTTCCTATACCCCAGACTATGCAATTGTCTGATCATCCCGCTGGACCTTGCATTGAAATCATTCACTTTTGAAGAAATGATGTGTCACCTTTCCAGGGACTTGAAACTAAGATTCATTCAGTTGTGACTTACCTGTCACTGGAGCAAACTTGAGTTTGAACTTTAAATATGCAAACCTAGCTGCCAAATTCAATAAACTTAGTATGAGCTATCCAAGGTGCTGAAGATATTTGAAAGATATTATCTTTCACACTACAGTATAGCCTTAGCCATTTTCGTTGGATCCACTGCGGTTCCTATTCTACCACATCCTAAATACGAAGACAGCCGACGTTATTGTTGAAGTTATACCTGTCTTTCTGTCTGCCTATGAATAACATGAATATGATGTAGTCACATCAGACAGAAAGCTAGTGGGGAGGAAATCGGATTGCATTAAAAGCTAAAGAGAATTAGAAATGTGTCGAGTTGCTGCCTGAAGTTCCATTAATTGTAATTTTAAATGTTGAAAAGGACAGCTCTTTCCTCTGTTGGAAACATTTCCTCCCCCTCACCAGCACCACCACACTCGAACTAGCATGTGGATGAATAGTGTTTTCTCAGCCCACATCTTTACAAGTAATACAACATAGACCCCCCCCCCCCCCAGGAAATAAACTATGCAATTGGTGATACATTGGAAAGGGCATCCTTTATGTAGTGATTGCCTCAAAACCTCACTTTGGCTGCCTTTGAAACCCTTTGCCAGTTAAAGTGGTATCAAACGGCTTTAATTCTACAGTGTAGATGCACCTGTAGTTGGTGAAAAAGCAAGGGACCACAACTTACCGCATCTCCTTTGTTGCCTTTGTAGCCTTGAGGTCCAAAAATCGTCATGGGATCTCCCTGCGGGGTAAACATTGGAGAGAAGAGAATCTGTTGAGTGTTGCTTTATGAGCCAGAGTTAGAAGTAAAGTCAGAGCCACATAAGACCAGATGCCATAAAGACATTGTGGGTGCTTTTTGCCAGCAAAATACCCAACACTGTGACAAACAACAACAACAACAACAACACTTCATTTATATTCCTCCCTTCTCCCCATGGGGACTCAGAGCGGATTACAGTGTAAACAGATTCCGGCAAACATTCAATGCCTTGTTACAATACAATGAGACACACAAACACAAACAAAGGCAAAGGCTTCTCCTTTCATTTCCAGCTTTGGAGGTGGTGCTCATCTCTGGCTGTTCTCCATTTCCAAGTCAAGGACCCTGCATTGTCACCTCCTGCTTGAAGCATCTTATGCCTTTCCCACCGAAGCGGTACCTAGGTACCTATTGATCTACTCATATTTGTATGTTTTTGAACTGCTAGGTTGGCAGAAGCTTGGAGTAACAGCAGGGCTTTGGAGGTGGTGCTCATCTCTGGCTGTTCTCCATTTCCAAGCCAAGGACCCTGCACTGTCATCTCCTGCTTGCAGCATCTTATGCCTTTCCCACTGAAGCGGTACCTATTGATCTACTCACATTTGCATGTTTTTGAACTGCTAGGTTGGCAGGAGCTAGGAGTAACAGCAGGGCTTTGGAAGTGGTGCTCATCTCTGGCTGTTCTCCATTTCCAAGCCAAGGATTCTACGTTGTCACCTCCTGCTTGGAGCGTCTTATGCCTTTCCCACCTAAGCGGTACCTATTGATCTACAGTACTCACATTTGTAAGTTTTTGAACTGCTAGGTTGGCAGGAGCTAGGGCTAACAGCAGGAGCTCACCCTATCCCACAGATTTGAACAGCCAACCTTCTGGTCAGCAGTTCAGCAGCACAAGGTTTTACACCACAGCCCTGTACTTGTGGGGATCCCATGTCGTAAAAATTGTTCCCAATCGAAAGGTTTGGGTGGAATATCCTTTAAATTAAATGCTTGTGATCAGAACCATCAAAACAACAACAAAACAATGGTGTCACCATCTCAGCCAGCCATGTGGACAATTTTGGATTATTTCAGATTTAGCAATTCCAGATAAGAGGGGCTCAACCTGTAATTGAAATTAGGGAGCATATCATGCTGTACACCTATAGCAGTATAACCCACTTCATTATTATTATGTGTATTGATACCCCGCTTTTTCTCTCCACAGGAGACTCAAAGCAGCTTTAACATCTATGGCTCCCTGTAATGTAATCCTGGACTTTGTAGCTTGGTGGAGCACTACAGCTGGCAATTGTCTCCAGCTGAAAGTTCAAAACACCCTTCCCTAAACTGCAAATCCCAGGACTTTGTAGGATGGAACCTTGGCAATAATGGTGCTATGATCGCACAAGGAGCCATGATGGTGCAATGGATTCAACCCTTGTGCCGGCTGAACTGCTGATCTGAATGTTGGCAGTTCGACTCCACAAGAGGAGGTGAGCTCCCATATGTCAGCTCCAGCTTCCCATGTGGGGACATGAGAGAAGCCTCCCACAGGATGGTAAAACATCCAGGTATCATGTGGGCAATGTCCTTGGAGACGGCCAGTTATCTCACACCAGAAGCTACTTGCAGTTTCTCAAGTTGCTTCTGACACATACACACACACAAATTGCACAATATGAAAGAGCCCAGCTTTTCTTGATGGCACTTCATGGTACAGAAGGACAAACATCCCAGTCTTCCCCCAAAGTGGCCTTCCGAAATAGACAAGACTGCAATGCATGACATATAAAGTCAGAAAACACCGTGAGCATCCTCGGCTTAATTACGGCTCCCATGCTGGTTTAATCCGCCTCCTTCCTCGTCATGTTTTATTCACACACTTCCTTTCAAGAGGGCATTACGGATTCCTTTATGATGGCAAAGGGCCCTTCCTCCAGTAAGAGAAGATCCAGAATTAATTTGCCTCTCTTTGAAAGGTGTTTTTCTTCCCGAGACAAATTGGCCATCAACTTTTAACAGAGAGCCGGATTCAAAGGGCAGGACTCTCCGTTTCTGTCAAGCTGTTTCGGGGAGGAGGGCAACTAAGCGAAACTTTGATTATGAATGACTAGAAGCAATTAAGTTGTTCCACTTTATCGAGACAATATGATATTGATATGATACAATGATGTGGTAAACCCCACGGTTTTCCAGGCAACTTTGGAACAAGCAAAAGATAGAGAATGGATTTTCTATATAAAAATGTAATGTTTGTTTGTGGGATTAACATAACTCAAAAACCACTGGACGAATTGACACCAAGTTTGGACACAAGACACCTATCAGGCCAACGAGTAACCATCACTCATAAAAACACTGCAAAACACAGCAGAAGAGACTTAAAAAGCCAAAAGATTTTACAGTAACGCATGCTCAAAACCACACACACACATATATATACACATATACACAAATATATATACACACATATACACACACAAAACACATATACACAGACTGGGCCACAGCAACGCACGTTCTAATGGCTTGTTCTTGGGCTGCCAGAATCAGGCCCTCCGTCTTCTTTTTCAAAGTCCCATTTGTGAGCCACAGCCATGTTTTTTCTTTGTCAATTTTGTTCTCAATTTTTCCCAGGAACTGGCCATGGAGAGCCTTCTTTTGCCAGTTTTCTCTTCTGCTCTGTATTGTGCATTCCCTCTATTATTATTATTATTATTATTATTATTATTATTATTATTATTATTATAAGCAGTTTCTCAAGTCGCTCCTGATACGACAATATGTGTATGTATTTGTGTGTGTACACACACACACACACACACACACATAAATTACTATTACTATTATTATTACTTACCCGTTCTCCTTTGGGCCCAGGAAATCCAACGTCACCCTAAAATAAACCAATATTCAAGAGAGATATTGACAAACTGAGCACCACAATTGAAGAGAGATATTGACCAGCTGAAAGGTGTACAGGGGAGGGTGACTAAAATGATCAAGGGTCTGGAGAACAAGCCCTATGAGGAGCGGCTTAAGGAGCTGGGCATGTTTAGCCTGAAGAAGAGAAGGCTGAGAGGAGACATGATAGCCATGTATAAATATGTGAGAGGAAGCCACATGGAGGAGGGAGCAAGCTTGTTTTCTGCTTCCCTGGAGACTAGGACGCGGAACAATGGCTTCAAACTACAAGAGAGGAGATTCCATCTGAACATGAGGAAGAACTTCCTGACTGTGAGAGCCGTTCAGCAGTGGAACTCTCTGCCCCGGAGTGTGGTGGAGGCTCCTTCTTTGGAAGCTTTTAAACAGAGGCTGGATGGCCATCTGTCAGGGGTGATTTGAATGCAATATTCCTGCTTCTTGCAGAATGGGGTTGGACTGGATGCCCCATGAGGTCTCTTCCAACTCTTTGATTCTAGGATTCTATGGATATAAACAATGAGCTGCCTAGTCATCATTAATAGTGATATAACCTGAGTGGCCCTTATTTCTCATGCCAGTAAGGTAATGCTCAACATCCTGCAAGGAAGACTCCAGCAATACATGGAGCGAGAGTTGCCAGATGTTCAAGCTGGGTTTAGAAAAGGCAGAGGAACGAGAGACCAGATTGCCAATATCCGCTGGATAATGGAGAAAGGCAGGGAGTTTCAGAAAAACATCTACTTCTGCTTCATTGACTATTCTAAAGCTTTTGACTGTGTGGATCATAATAAATAGTGGCAAGTTCTTAG